GCGCATGCACGATTTAAAGCTCGGTGGTTGTCCCCCCCCCCCCCTCCCAAGGTGCATGTAGGTCTGCACCACCGTTAACCATTTTCCTTCATCCCATAGCCCTGAAACAAGCATTTCTGGTCCAAGGGTTCTAATGCAAACAACCAAAAACCAACGCCCCTCTGACAACCAAAACCAACGCCCTCAACTGACTCCTCTTCTCCTGTTCGGTCATAATAGGCATAACCCGGCTCTGTAACCATGCTTCCCTTACTGGTTTGAAAAATAATGCGAATATGTTTGGCGAAGTCCTAAAGAACCATTGTGTTGAGTTTAACGTTAAAATAACGAACAACACCCATATTTATTGTGCTACTACAAGCAGAGAGGCATCTGATATTACACGCCAAGAACCCATGCCATTGTGAAATCGCACGTTTTTTCCAAAAACGTTGAGGACCATGCTCCGTAACCCTCTTCCAAAGAGCGCCGCCCACCAGCACGTGCCGCCCGCGACAACATTAGACCTGGACAAAGACCTCGGCCACCAGGGTGTGGTCTCTCGGGTCGTGCTGGACCACGGCAAACGGAACGAGCCCTCGGGCACAATCTTGCTCTCTTGCCCTCTCTTGCCATTTAAAAAAAATTGAAGGCTTTAAATGAATGCATTTCTGGGAACAGACCCTCACGCTAATCAGTGCTTGTTGCGCGAGCCCTAACCCCACCATTCGACTCGCGTAATTCCAAGGCAACGGTTCGTTGTTTTGCACGTCGAATCGCATACGCCTATTTTGGCGTAAGAATACAGGAAACTAGGTAAAGGGCGAAAGCTTGACGCGCCGCAATGCTCAGCACGGTCCGGCTTGCCCTCTGGCGTCAGCTGACCTTTATCACTGGCCGCTGCACCGGCCGCAGGCAATACCTGTCGAAGAGCCAATGATGAGCGCCTGAAATGACTCGAACCCATCCGCCACGGGCGGGTGGATTGAAAGGCAGGCGCTCTAACCGAGTTATGGGGACGGCCAAACAGCGAGACGGCAAGATTATGCACCTGGCCACAATCTCGCTGCCACGCCACACCATGCACAAACAGCATCATCAGATCCCGGACATCCAAGGGTTTTAAGAAGTTTCTTTCCATGCAACGGCCATGCGCGTGTGTTGTAATGTTCGGGGGGGACTTACCCTCCGTCAGCCATGTAACTAGAGGCCATACCCTGACCTTACAGCGCGGTCCTATTCAAGCAAACCACTTGCTCATGAACACATTCGCGATGTATCGGCACGACCAGCCCGTCTCAAAGTACCAGCGAAACCATTCACGCACCAACACTCGCGTTCCGCACTTGGACGCATGCGCCCAGTCTTCAGTTGACCACGACAATGGAGTCATTTGGTTAGAAGTGAAATTGTTCGACGCGTCAGCACCGCCACGCCCCGGTGGTTAGCATTCGGGTGGCAGGTCTCCAGGGCAAAACTCCAGGGTCGGGGTTCCTCGAGCAGTGAACCTTGCCTATCGTCTTCCCACGTCTGGGAGAACTGTTTCTTCTGCCGGCTAAGCTAGCGGTGCAGACGTGCTGCTTCTAACAATTAGCTCACGCTTTCACCGTGGTTAGAAGTGCAGAGGACATGGGATTACTGCCCGGTTCACGAACGTAGCACATAAATGATGTCACAGGACTAATACCACAGCATCAGGTCGGACAGTCCCACAGTGATTCCATTAGAAGAGCTGAGTGTAAATGGAAAGATAAAAGTTCTGAAAGATGAAAGTTTCCATCGGCACAGTAACCGCCGGGTTCAAAGCATCTTCGCTGTGACGAGAGCAAATCCTTTCATGGCTTGGCATTCAGTGACGGATCAAGAGGGAGGGGCTATGGGGTCACCCCCTTGCGCCGAAGAGGCACCAAAATTTGTTAGTGAAGGGGCAACAAAGTCCTCATTTCGGGTCCACACAACCTTATTTGAAGACACCCTAAAGTTCAGGGGCACCACAAACGGCTTAAAATCTTCAAGCTCAACAACAAATCATTTTGTTTTTCTCTGGAAATAAAGAGGACCAAATCCGGCGGACGATTGGGAGCAAAATAGATAACGCCGATTAAAGATTAAAACCTGAAAAGTGGGCTAAATCCGGATATATAGCTGTGGGGGGGCGGAGCACCAAGTTACGTGAGGCACCGCATCGAAGCGCGGTCCCTCCCTTGGCAATATCCTGAATCCGCCCCTGTTGCGTGCATAGACAAGCCAGACGCTCGCCGCTCAGTGACGCAAGCGTGGAGACATCGCAGACCGGGGACAACGCCGTCCCCTCCGGCTGCAGCTCCCACGAGCCGTGCGCGCCGCCGGCGGCTAGCTGCGGCGGGCCCACCGGCGCGTGCAGTCCGGCCTGCGGGGAGCGGCCGAGCCCGTGCACGGGGCCGCCTGGGACGAAGGGGTCAAGTCTGTCCCCGCGACGCCTGTCGGGCGGAGCATGCTCAGACGCCGGCCGTGCGGAACACGGTCAGACGCCTGCCGAACGGAACACGGTCAGACGCTTGCCTGGGTGGAGCACGGCCAGACGCCTGCCGGTGGAGCATGGTCAGACGCCATACTGTTGTTGGGCACCGGCGGTGGGGCGCGAAGCAGTGCACCAGACAGAAGTGTCGATTTTTGGAAATCATTGGGGGAGAGGGGGGGATGGAGGGACAGCTAAGTTCCTTAACGACATTTCCTCCCCTTTTTTACAACGGGTCTATCTAGTCCACTTAATTTTGGCGAAGGTAATTGACATTTTAATATTTGTACCATATATCAAATAGTTATTGATCTAAGCGGCACAGTAGACATTCAGGGGCGGATCCAAAGAGCAGGGCACTGGAGGACACGCGCCCCTTTTGGTCGGAAGATGAAGGCTCCCCCCAGAGGCCACTTTAGGGGGCCAAATGGGGAGGGCACTAGAAGCACGTGACCCCTATGATCGGAAGGTAAAGGCCGTTCTTAGCGTTCTTCTAAAGACCGAAAGCGTTCTTCAATAGCGGCCGTGGGCAGCAGCCAGTATATTCAGTGGTTGGAGACGCGGGCGGGGTAGACCATGTACGACTTAAAGTCAACCTCTTACTCCAGAGCTTTCCAGTTTAACCTCTGGAGCCTCTGCGTGTCTTATGTCCCTGCGTGTGTTAAGTTTATTGCCTTGTTTATCTTCTCCGCTGTTGCGAGTCTTAGCTGGCGGCTCTTGCAGTGAGCAAACATGACTTTTTATTACTGGAGAGGTGGGAGGAGTGCTCTGGTGCTGGTGAGTGCATTGCAAAATGCAACGAACGTACGGTTTTATGGGTCGGTAAACATCCGGCTATATCAACTCATTCAGCTGGCGGGTTTGGGGCATATCATTTGGGGAAATTACACGCTCCACTCAAGTTTTCTATTTGGTGTTGGATTTAGGTCTTAACGCCTCCTGTCAACCCACTTTATTTGAGATCAATAGTGGTGTGACGTGCGAGCGGTACGCAAAATTTTTAGGCTGATACTAGATACGTTGCACCTTATTTCTTCAGCGCAACCTTACGTAGTAGCATCAACACTTAATATTTACTTTTCTTGTGTGGGACTAAAGCCAGGGGCAAACTGTTTGAATTTGATGCATCAAAGTGTGCTGTAAAAACAACAGTGAGGAAGAGCTTTTAGTAATGTGATGTAGAAAATGCATGCGTAATGTAAAGGACAGTCATAATGCAAACTTCAAATTGCCGTTTTGGCGCGCCGACGTCGCTAAAAATTTTTCTGTGAATGACTGCATATCACCTTATTAGGCAACGGTGATTTCTGTGCGTTAATTCTTCATCAGCAATACAAAATATTATCAGACCAGCGTGCAAAAATACTTGACCCCAAATGCGTACGACTGCGCATTATTAAGCAGCATCCTTTTTGCTACAAACGACGATTTCCTTCTTACACGTAATCTGAAAGTATCATATAAACACAAAGTGGCGAATTCCGTGATGTTAGTGAGAGAACACGTCCAAATATTTTGAAACACATCGGCTACAGCATTTCAGATGAGGCTGAAACTTTACTGTAACATTACTGACATTAATACAGAACAAGGACAAGAGCTAACATCACTGTAACATACGTGGACCTCGAGACCGATGCCACGACATCTTGAGTGACCTGGGGACACACGTTTTGGAAATTGAGCTGCAATCATGAAATGTCTTGAGTTTCGCCGGATTTGGACCGGAAGTTTAGTGCTGTGGAATGTACAGGTCCAGATCCAGGCTGGCAGATCCAGCCGTGTGATACGCACACTTAAAAAATTTGAACTTGTCAATAGCGTCTTAACGCAACCTTTTAAATGTATTTCATGTTGACAGCCAGTGGTGCGCCCGAAGAATTACCGAGCCTGTTTGTTGACGCTTTCCATGCAGGGCCCTTATAGTCTTGGCCAATGGTCCACATAACCCGAGGCGATACACGACCTGTGTCATGGGTAACTCAATATTGAGGATCCAGCTGCCTCATAAAATAATGCAAATTGACACCCTGCTGATGGGTAGCTGTCTGGTTTCCCTGATGTGTTGGGACTGCTGACAGTCTGAGCCTGATGTCCCGAAACGTCTGGTTGTCTGTGAATGATGTGCCGTGACCGCTGGCAGTCTGAGACTGATGTGCCGTGACCGCCGGCAGTCTGAGACTGATGTGGCGTGACTCAAGCTATGGCCCACCAATGAAATGAGGGAAATTGCTTATGTCTATAATCTAATATCGGCGAATGTCAGGTGCCATGATGAGCGTGTCACCAGGTGACAGGTGTCATGAGCAAGTGTCATGCACCATGTCGGATGACATGGTGACATGTGACCCCATGACGCACAGTAGCACCAGCAGTGTTTTCTCCGTGCTGCTCTGACCAAGTCCGAAGAAAACGCGTACACACATGCGGTTTATTTCAAACCACTCCCGGCTCTGTTCTGCGCGGCACTCACGTGCCACTTGTGACGTCACCCCCCGTGACGTCACGACGGCTGGGCCGTTGTGAGGCAGGCTGGGCGAGATGCTGTTCGTCTTGCTCTGTGCCAGCGGCAGGTGGGCGCGCTGGTGGAAGCCGCAGCTGCCCCTCTTCATCGCGGCAGGCTTGCCATCACTGCAGAGAAGGGCGACGTTAGCTTCAGCTTCAGCGCCAGCTTCCGTACAGCTCCAGGTGCGGCAAGAAACCGACTTCGCTGCCGAGGCTCGCTGTACGTCACGTCTCACGTGTTGAAGTCTTTTACTTATGTGTATACGATAATTGTGTCCCAGAATTCCAGGGAGGTAATCTGGCTTTAATTTGATGCATTATTCGTGCCTTTGCATGTAAAAGCACGGCTTTCCCGATGCTAGGCGTGATTGTGTTGGGAGTAAATGGCACTTGAGTCTTTTAAGCGCGATCACTACATTTCTTCGAACGGATTACACCCATGAACGACGTGGGAATTTAACAAGCATTTAAAGCAATGAAACATACGACTTTTATGAACCACTGCAACCCCTCTTAACTGGTACCGGTGAAAATACATTTTTTTGTCTTCATTTTAGCTATTCAGAGGGCAACTCCGTGACTGCAGAACTTGATCGTTGACAGAGTGAAGGTTTTGTATTTTACCCTGCTGAGTGACGGCTCCAGCTCCATCTATCGCTCACTGCTCTAGCTTCGCTCTCTATCAATCAGGAGGCTGTGTGATGCACGCATGCGACTACATTCTTGGAGGGGTTCACGAATACCCAATGCAAGTTAGTCTAGTGCATGTGCACAACAGTGATGACCATAGTATTACGGAGCGATTAAGACCAGGAGTTAAAATTACGTATGACACAATTGCCTCGGCTACCGTGCTCGTGTAGTGTGTTGGTGTGCGTCTACGCTGCGTAATGCAGGCACTAGCACACTAGTCGGGGACGATGGTACGAGCAACAATGCCATCAGTGATGAGTTTACGGGCATATGTCCTACCTTATTCCCTTTGAAAGCCTCCAAAGGTGGCAACCTTTCCTTGCTTGGAATGTTACGAACTGCTGCTCCAAACATTTCGTGCGCATCCCTGTATCGCGTCGATTTGTCCCGCTGCGTTTAATGAACAAGCCTAAACGTACGCAAGCACAGTGGCACGTGCGACTATGCACATACAAAGAAGAGCTCAGCCACATGTACATCAACTTCGGAGGTCTGCCCGCGCGCAAGGAGTGGTCAGTACATATCAGCAAACGGCATGCTACAAATGGATTTGCAAGCGATCTGAAAATGTTTTGCTCCCCACATTCATCGAAAGAGAAGGATACATTTTGTTCAATTGCAAAGCTGCAGAAAAATCAGCTCCGGTCCAAATGTTCAACAAATCTGTACAAATTTACACAGTGCAACATTTATGGAGCGACAGATCTCTTTTTAGTAAACACCTGAAGCTGGTGTCAGTGGTTGCAGATATTTATGATAAAAAAGTATGACAGCGGGTCGTAAATCTTTAAATTGTTGTAGTAGACCTCACTGGACTGTCGCTCCCGTTAACAACAAGGAGAGTGCTGATAAGCACAACGCGACAAAATGGCAATACTAAAATCCGTATATTTATAGGTTGTGTATGCATTCATTCAGACATGAATCCTAGGTATACGAAAAACCCATGTCGAAAATATTCCATTGCACAATGCGCTACAAAGGTTTGGAGGGACGGAAAAACATCAAGGCCAAGGGCTTCAAACAGATATTTAATTAAAGATCCCCTGTGTCGATCATCTTTACTACACTTGCACAAAACGCAATCCAAATTCGGAAACTTGTTGGCTGGGGCATATCCTTCTTAAACGCACGGAGCAGTCTACCAACGGCTGTCACCAGATCTCTCGTGATATAGTCTCAGCGTAGGACCCAACCCGGTGCCCTGACCATGATCAGCGTGGGACCAGCCGACCCGTACTCACCATGACCCCGACCTCCCTTGTCAGCTGACCCTAGCTAAGCGCCGGGGCCGGCGACTCGTGCGCCGCCTGTCGCCAGTCCGGCCGGTCGCCAGCAGGGTGCAGCAGCTGCCGAGAGCGCTCCTGCCTGACGTCGCCGTCCCAGTGGCGCAGGAGGAACGCCAGCCAGCCGCCGGCCGCCTCCGGCCCCAGGTACACGCGCCGCTTCTCCGCCTTGGCCTCTCGGTCAACCGCATCGTAGGGCTCATGAAGTGCTGGGAAGGGATGACTGACTGCGTCGAGCGGCTGCACGTCTCCTTCGAAGGTCAGGTCTGGTTCCGCGGACTGACCAAGCGTTCCGTGAGGGTGGTCGGCGGTCTGGTACAGCTGTCGCCCAGAGGGGATGACCTGGTCAGGTGTGAGCGGGGTCGTGTCGCCGCCGTCGACGACGAACGCACCGACCGCGGAGCCGGAGGTCTTCTTGAACGGCGTCAGCCTGCCTGCCAGCCGGCCCTCCGGCATCCGCAGAGGCCGGCGCGAGAGCCCGAGCCAGGCGGACATGCGGTCGAGGTCGGCCAGGAACGGCGAGCCCGCGGCCGCCTGAGAGCGGAACATGCCCCGCCTCTCCACCGCGCCGTCCGCAGCCGACCGAAAGGCGCCCACTTCCGGCGCGGCGAGGCGGCGCTGGGGGCGCGCACAGGTGGGTAGCGAGGCGCGCGTCTCTCGTTGCGGCAGCGCGCTCACGCGGCGCAGCAGCGCGTCCGGCCACCGGGGCAGCGCGTGCAGCTGCCGCACCAGCGCGCTGGGTTGCTGCGGCAGCTCCGGCAGCCCCCGCGGTGTTGCCGCCGCAGCGTCGCTCCACAGCGGTGAGCTGTGGGCGGCAAACGAACGATACCTGCTTTTCTTGGCCTTCGGCCGACCCGACGATGCTGAGACGGTCGCAGACCGCGTGACGCGGCCACCTCGCCAAGCTCGTGCAAGGTTACGGAGCAGGTCCGCTGAGGGGTATTCTGTTTCATTGGCGGGCTCCGAGTGAAGGACGCCTGACGAGTCCTCGTTGCCAGCGGAGATTGCGCGGGCTGAGTTCTCAATGTCGATCTCCGCTTCGGGAAGTGTCACCAGTTGATCGAGCTCCGGGGCGGGGGTGATGGCTTCGCGGTAGGTCGGTGTCTTCGTGGACCTCGTATCTCCGTGTCGGCGCGGAAGGACGCCTCGGATAGACAGGCCCGCACGGGACGCATCTGGATGGTGTGGAGCGACGTCCGCTGAAACGTCGACACAGCTGTGTTACGGCGGTCAGCGAACAGCAACGCATTTCTTATCGACATGAGCATCAAACTTACAGGCAGTGGTGTGGTGGAAGTGCCGCTTATGGTAGTTTTCTAAGACCTTGATAAATCGCAAAAGCGAAACGGGGTTTTGTTTAAGTATCTCTCTCCTTTGCTTCAGAATTCTATGAATTTGTAGAAATTGTACGACGTCTGGGGGCCAACAGGAGGACGCTTATGACTATATCATTGCATTATGTCCGTAAACAGTCAGTATTAAGGTAACCTGCTTTTGTCTAGTTGCATATGTGATCACCTGAGTAGCGTCCAAAAGTGAGCAAAACCTGATGAAAAAGTTGAAAGGCTTCAAAATTTGTCATGTCACTTCGAGAATGAGCTTTTCGCATTTCAGAATGGTTAAAATAAATGTCAAAGACGAAAGATCAGCAAGCAGTCGTGATGTAGACGCCGAGTGCGTTTGGAAACGGGAACCGATTTCAAAGGACGAGGAACTGGATGCACTTGTGAACTTCTTGGAATAGTAGATGACTTACTCATCTATCAGAAGAGAATGATGTTTTTCACGATCAGTGGTGTACATCGGGCGGGCCGTGTTGGATATTTGGGCAATGGCTCCACCTCCGATGGCAAACGCCAGCCAGATGCACTGGTCCAGCACAAGCATGGGATGGCGATCAGGGCACGCATTGGTGAAGTGGATAATTTACCATACCTTACGCGATAAAGGGCGGTGGCAACTCCACGTGCACAATTGTGAGGCCTGGATGTTCGATGTTTCCTTCAGACTCATGGTATTTTGACAGATCAACGCACGTTGTGTGGCTTACTTTTGGTACTGGATAACGTCTAGCATTTGTGAATTACGTACTAGCCACGGTGAATTTCAGCCGATTATTTCTATGAAAGTTGACGGGACCAACGAGTCATTTTCGCCGACGTCTGATGCATAAAACCATACAGCCGATAACGAATATGAGGTCGCTCTGCTTGATAGAGCTAAAATTTGTACCAGATTAAGAAACGCACAACAAATCATCATGGAAGCTTTTAACCAGATCCAGACAAAAAGGCCCCAAGAAGTGAGTCCTTCTCCTATAGAGAGGATTGGGCAACATTCCTCCTTTCTTTGAGTTTTTTTCGGAATAATTTCCAAACGATCTTGAGCATGGTGCTAAATTTTCGATGCCCAAGTTGCATCATTTTGATATATGTTCAAAAATTTAAAATTTCCTATGTTGACCGGTCATGATCCATGACCTCTTTCTCAACGCCGATGGCGTGTCGTTATATCTTAGTCAGATATGACAAATAGCGCATTTTTTGTCAAAGTCCACCCATCCCGTCCATTCCGTCTAGTCCATCCTGAAGACCTTGTCTTGGCTGTTCTTTCAATCATCTCCCCACTCTGAAGTGCATTGCCGCCAGTCTGGCGGTCTTCATAAGGTCAGATCATTCAAAGTCAACATAGATCGAATTCGTCTTTTTCGACCAGATTAAGACCCCGTTAACACGCGCCCGGGTGGCCGGCTAGATACCCTTCGCTCGGGTGGAGGTCAATTTGACTCCCTTGAGATCTCAAGAATAAAGAGAGCTAGAGACACCAAATTTGCAGGGTATCTTTACCTGTACGTGAACTCACTTAGGTCTTAGTTTGAACTTCTCAGGCTACGACCCTCAGGTCAAATAAGGTCAAGCAAGGTCAAATTCTAGATTGGTCACCAAAGTGCCCCCAGAACATAGGAAACTGTTTCTAAGCAAAAGGTCAAAAGCCCATTTGACTTCAGTGACCTTTTTTGACCTTTTGAAGGTCATGGTGACTAACATCATACAAGACTGCTCTGAGTTTTGCATTTGAGTAAGCGACAAAATTACGTTAGGCAGTATGTTTATAAAACAAAATGGCGATTCGGGTCATCTTAGGTCAATGACCCTTTCTAACCTCTAAAAAGTCAATGAAAAATGTATAATGCCGTTCCCGCTGTCAATAAATTAGAAATGAGCACCACAAACTACCCCGTACAGCAAGATCTAGAGAAATAAATCAGGTTGGCTGTGACTCGTCTGACCTTCATACCTGACCTTGTGTCAACGTTATTTGCTCATTCAATATTTGTAGTGCCTAAGGAAGCATTTAAGAGATGTATGGCTTCGTTGAACACTCAATTATTTATCAGATTAGACGATTCCTTAGAAATCGCCTTTGCTGAAACCATGGTCTGACTTTGACCTGCCATAGGTCAGCAACCTTACGAGATACACCTAAATTTTGATGTCAAACGATCCGCTAGTCAATTGTCTACGGTATGCAGAACTTGGCGCGGCTGCGCCGCGCCGTTCGGAAACCATTCTGAAAAAACCTTCGCCGGTCAATTTGGCTCCTCCACCTGAGCGCGTGTTAAGTCTGTAACTGAAACCTTATAGTACCGGTATGACAGCTTTAAAAGGCCCTTTAATCTCAGTTCTGGCCATGATGCAGGTTGTTTAAGTCTTGCTATAGCCGCACGCCTCAGTGCAACAACAACAACAGAGTTCATCCCTTTTGGCCTGGCATGACATATGATATATTGCATCTGTTACCGCTCATTAGTGCCTATGCGATAGAGCTTGTCAAGGACTATTCACGACACCGTTTTTCGCATTGCCTGTTGGGGTAAAAGGAGTCGGCTATTGAGTGCCCGTAGAACCTAATTGAGCCCGTCAAAGGTCATATTCACTGCTTTTCACCTACCTTTCTCTGGAAAACGCTTCCAATGTTATTCCCCCTGCCGCGCAAGCTTACTTTTTTCTAGGCATGTGGGCGGCGAAGGGGGATCCGAGTCCCTCCCCTCGTAGGGCAAAGGCGAGAAACTCTCGTAGGCAGAGCATTAAAGCGCAGGCTTGATCAGTTCTCCATGGAATATAAATATCAGGCATAACTGCAAGGTTAGACGTCATCCATATACGCTATGGACGGCCCGCGCTGAGCCACAGGTTCCGATGATACACCACCTCCTCTCTACATGGTGCATCCAGATGCATGTTAGCCACGGAGGAGCCCTGGTCCATTCCACGGCAAATGGGCACGTGAAGAGGCTAAAATTTTGCCCGTTTTTTAAATAAAAAACGGGCAAAAAGGGGAAAACACTCCTCATTTCTGATTGCGCTCCAAATATTAGCATTGAGTTATCTTATACTCCAATCTCAGCTGTGCCATTTTCAGATGGATCAGAGCAACGGCTGAGGAATTACAGGCTCGAGCATTTTCAGAAGATTAACTGACACGGGTAAGTTTGAGGGTTCATAACTTAAATAAGTTAACCTTAATGGTGCAGAGCTATGAACCACTGCTCACAATGGTTCAGTGCATTTTTGCCTATTTGGTGAACAAGATCTTATGGTGCAAAGCTACGCTTAAGCGATTATTGCTGAGACACATATCTCTTAAAGTATCCAGCCGTGATACGATAAAATTCTTTCTCAGGAAGTAGTTTCCTATTCAGCTTTTGGAGGTCTCCATCTTCCCAGGCTGGACTCAAGCCCCCCCCCCCTCCCACTATGACAAAAGAGTGGCGTAAATCCGTAGCGTAAACCGTGTGTTAAAGTTTTTCGGGTAGGTTTCGTCATTTCTCATTGGTCAGGCCCCAACTCAACTACGCCCCCGGTCCTTCCGCCCTTCTTGTTTTCACCACTGACGCAACGCTACCTTATTTATTCGGCTGGCTGTTCACAACTACAGGCGCGCTGATGCACGCATAGAATTACAGTCTAGTATATTGGATTATAGTGTATTGATCTGGTATATTCATAGTTACATTATCTGGCAATACGTCATATAGTATAAGGGAGACGAGGTGTTTATTAGTATAGACCCTGTTGAGCGAACCCTGGACGCAACAGCCCAGTTGTTCTCTTTAAGCTTGTCCGGCAGTTTGTCTACGATCTCCTTCAGCTAGGAAGCACCGCGAAGAGTCATAATTCATGCAATCAAAGTGCTACGATATGATAAGATTACGATCGGGTTCAGGACCATGACGCCACACCAGCCCTCTTTGGTCGGTTGCCAGCTGACCGATCCCAGCTGGATGGGCCGGCCAGGTCACTCGCCCCTAGACTAAAATAAAGTAGTTAAGTGGACTAGTTAGAATACGACCCGTGTGACTGGATTACGAGTCCAGCCCCTCTCCTACAACTACCTACAGCGGATCGTTGGGTGCTGCGTATATGAGCTGATGTGTGACAAGTGGACGGCTCATTTAAATGGCAGCAGTGTAAACCCCGCGATAGGCCGCATTTCAAAGGTCGTCAAAATGCGGTTCACACACGTCTGGCGGTTCAGGTCGGCCGTTCGACCTCGTTGCCATGTGCACGCACACACACACACACACACACACATGCACACGCACACGCACACACATGCACACGCACACGCACGCACACACACGCGCGCGCGCGCGCACATACACACACACACACACACACACACACACACACACACACACACACACACACACACACACACACACACACACACACACACACACACACACACACACACACACACACACACGTACGTCGGGAGGTTTGGTCGGGCCGCCCGCGCCGCTCGATCAGTGATCACCTGCTAATGACGAGACTGCCGACAGCCGGCTCAGGAAGAGCAGCAGAACCGGAAGGCAGCATCCGTCTGCGAAGGTGACCATCCCGCCGAGCCCTGATGCCGCTCGATGGGCGCGTGACGTCACAGGACGCGGCGCAGGCCAAGTACCTGCCGGCGTTGTCCTGGTGAAAGGCTGGTATACAGATATAACGTAAAGTACATAAAGAGAAAAACACATTAGACTGATATATCCATCTAGATACATATATAACTTAAGGCACATGAAGAGAAAAATACATTTTATTCGTGTATACGCATGACATTAATAGGGGATAACTTTTTTGACCACTGCCTACTTGTAAACTTTATTGTGACATTCATGTTCAGAAACCGAAATACCGAAATTGAAAGTTAGGTAAATTCTGAGATAGAAACGTTGACAGTCGAGTCGAAAACGGTAAAAAAAACTTAACGCTCTAAACGCTGAATGCAGAAAATAAAGTACGGAAAACTGTGGGGAAACTGTTGGAACGTTTGGCCTCTAATAACTCAAGGCCCGTCGGAGATTGACCCCCGAAATCTCATATACTCTGAGTCAGCAAGGACGGGAGGAAGGTTTATGCCACACATCGGTGCAGATCCGACCACCGTGCGTGGTGCAGATTGGACCACCATGCGTGGTGCAGATCGGACCACCATGGGTGGTGCAGATTGGACCACCATGCATGGTGCAGATTGGACCGCCATGCGTGGTGTAGATGGACCGCCGTGCGAGGTGCAAATCCGATCACCATGCGTGGTCCAGATCGGATCACCATACGTGGTGCAGATTGGACCACCATGCGTGGTATAGATGGACCACCGTGCGTGGTGCAGATGGACCACCGCGCGTGGTATAGATCGGACCACCGTGCGTGGTGCGGCACGAACAAGCCTGCCTTATCGGGTTAGTCAAGACGGTAGAAACAATAGGGTTAGCATTGGGGATGATCGAACCCGCGACATGTGAAACCTATCAGAGCAGCGAAAATACCGGAAGTGGCGTGCTAACCAAGTGCATATCTGCCAGTTCCGGAGAGACATATAGCGTGAAAGCTAAAATATTTAACAAAAAGATTTCACATACATAAACTGAGCGATGGGTGAAAAAAACGCCTGTTCATTTACCCGCTGCGTAACATAAGCTACTGTGTGACGAATAGACTAGTTACCAGTCACCCACAGTCACATGCCACAGCACTGAGTTGTTTAAGACCTCCATACGTGATGTGATTTTGACCACCGCCCGCTAGCCACTGGTCTGATCAGGCCCGTATGGCATAGGTAGGTCTATTTTAACTCTTTGATGGTATCATTTATGGCACTATTACTCGTATCATTTTATCGAATAATTTTTGAGTGTGCCTTTTACTCCACCTGTATGATATTTAAAACATGACCTTGATCTGAAACCGTAACAGCCACTACGTGGATGATTTCCAATATACTGATATTGATGCTGATGACGTTCGTTTTCTGTAAATTAACCGTCTGGTGGCGCTGTATTTTTTAGATTTTATTGACTGCATTGCTCCAGAATGCTTTCTTTGGAGGCAGTTTCGGCCATGAAACCAAATCCAGCTGTATCAAATCCTTTCCTTGGAGCACACCTTTCTCCATTTCGCCCGGGCATCGCCGGGCGTCCCAGCTAATGCATAACACGATCAGGATCATAGCGCATCCCACAAAGGTGTATCCTCTGAAGGCTTCCGGCGCCTTGTCGCAATGCAGCATGTGTGTGACAGCATTATGGTTCCGTAGACATCCCAGCATAAGCATTACACACCCGTCTGTTACCAGCACGGCGAGCTAAGGCACTAGTAATAGCCTCATTCCCAAGAGAAAAACATCAGGAAAATGGAGATATTCAGCTCAAAGAATATGGGTTGATGTTTCGGCAACGTGCCTTTATTGAAACAATAGCAGAAGTGGAAAGCACAAAATCGTGTTACATTAAAAGGCATATTTCGATGAGTGTATGTTGCCGAAAAATCAACACATCTACATATCCATTTTCCTGTTTTTTCGCTGAGGAATGGGGTAATTACTTCTGCCTTATCTATTTGAATAATCTTCGCGCGGATGTAAGTCGTCCGGTGCATTCACCAGGAACATTATTCACATAGAACAGACAGTAATAATAGCCTTATTCCTCGGAGCAAAACCAGGAGGATGGAGACATAGGTAGGTTGATATTCGGCAACATGCCTTTATCCGTTCTCCTGGTTTTTCTCCGAGGAATAAGGCTATAACTACCGTCTTTTCTTCGCAAATACACTTAACAGCTTACGTAGCGCCGGCGAGAGTTAACTCAGCACGTAATGCGGCCAGCGAGACGCCCACCTACACAAACGGCGTTAAAACGGAGACATCGCATACTGTCAATGGCAATGGCTCGTGAAATTCCTGTCAGCATTAACTAAACCGAACTTCCCTGATAGCTTCCCCATCAGCAAAACAGTCATTTATGCGGGGAGGGATGCGGTCGCGCTGAGTTGCGATATAACTGACCTGCACTCACCTCCCCGTCAGCTCCCGTGGTGCCCTCCAGCGACATCCAGCACCCTGCCCAGCAGCGGCCGCGGCTTTATCCCCAGCGAGCATGACGTCACAGCCGGTGGGCGGAGCTTCCTGTCCCGACGCAGGCGGCCGTCGCGTCGGACCATTGTCGGCAGACGGCGCCGGCGGTCAGGCTAGAGGCAGGGATGCCTCTCGTGGAACAATGGGATCAGCCGATGGGAGGAGATGGCGCGCGGGGACTATTGTCGCCAGGTCACGTAGTGTGCTGCCGATTTCTCCAGATTGTAGGTCCAATCTAACTGCTGAGCCTGAACGATGCGTTATAGTCTCAAAACGTCTTACTTTTCCCAAGAGGTTCTGCGCAAACAGAAAACCCGCATTAAGTGGGCTCTCACTGCGTTCAGTCTCATGATCTATGAAATGTCGTTGGTTCGGGCCCCTACTGCCGGCGCCAGATTTCTCTATATCTCCACGTTTTCCAAATTTATCTGACAAAACTTGAACAGTACATCGACCGTCACTGAAGGCCACATGTTTCGGCGCAGCGAATGGATAAGCCAGGGTTAAATAAATCATTGCCTTCTACCAGTCAGTGTTTTTTGATCGATTCCCTCCGAATACTCGGGGCTGGGTCTCGAGTATGGATCGATGGTTTTTCCACATGGCGGTCCTGTTACATTGCAATGCTTGCTACATTATATTGAGAGGGGGGGGGGGGGGGGGGCGGATAAGAACACAAAGGCTAAATCAATGGATACGACAACGATAACAATTTAGTAGCTTATTATACTTTATTGGTAACAAGAGTGGCAATCGATAATATCATAAGACACCACTGGCCTTGAGGCTTCATCAGAGTGTGCTTTTGAACTTCGCCCCAGATGTTGCACACTGTCTCTAACTGGCTTCACGCAACAAGTTGGAAGCTTAGCTAGGCTGTTATCAAAGGAGGGGCCAGGGGCGGTGATTTGAGTAAAATATTTGGGGCCAAGCTATGGAGCCGGTGTTCTAACCCCCCCCCCCCCAGTGTGAGTGTTTCAGTGGATGTAGCCCACTATTTCGGTTAAGAGCAATTTTCAATATTCTTTTGTCATCATGCATCAAATGGACTAATCTGGCCCACTCCATTTTGGCGAGCGGCATTTTTCAATTGTTGTTTTTTTTTCATTATTTATCATACGGTATTCATTTCTGCAGTGAAGTAGTTATGGCTAAAAAGGCTAAGAAGGCAACTTTGTGACAGTCCACCCTTGCCTGTATTCACGTAATACTCCAGGAGCAGTATAAGGGCATGGGGAAGGGAAACCAGCTTTAGGGACAAACCTTTACATAGCGGGGCGACAAAACACTCACAAAAATTCAAATCGACAACCCTAGGAAGCGTCCTACTCAGCGCGGATGTGTAGCAATTAAGCTACGGAGCAAACTGCGGGATAGACAAAAGTCAGTAACTCCGCTTGGTGGATGGTGGTGCATCGTAGTGACTAGCATTTTTCCATGACGCAACGGAAAACTATTCATTCTGTATTTCTGGTTTATCCAAACATAACATGCACTTCATATATTTCTCGATAAAATGCGCCTGCTATGTGTTTGCTGATGTGGAATCGCACGCCTGCGAGAAGCTGCAGTGAAGTGAATGATCGAGCATGTTTGCATCAAACTTCCTGATGTTACTAGCTGGAGACGTAAAATCACAAGCAGTTCGATCATTTCCTCGCAATAAAAGCCTGCTTCTGCCAGCGAGAAGTTTCCAGTTGATTCCCAACGGCTGTCATGATGTTCTACATTTCTGAAAGTGCGCTGTGTTTCCTGCGCTGCCGGACTCGGTCTCTGGCCTTCGGTCTGGCTCCGGGCGAACGTGTTCGACTGTCGGGCTGCTGCGGCGAGCTCCGGTCTGGCAGACTGACGGTCTCCGGTCTCTTCGCGTGCTCCACATACTTAGGCTCGTCCTGCCAGGAGGGGGAAGGAGGAGGTGATACTGTCGGCCGGCTCGACTCTAGACTTGCCCAGGGTCTTACAATCGGCTACGCATCGAGGAAGATTGCTCAGAAAAAGTCACGTGACACGTAGTGCTCAAAATCCAGAGCCGCCATATTCCACCAGAAGGCCAACAATAGAAGTGCGGAGAGATAGGTAAAAAGAGAGAGAGGAGAGAGAGAGAGAGAGAGAGAGAGAGAGAGAGGATAGAAGAGAGAGAGAGAGAGAGAGAGAGAGAGAGAGAGAGAGAGAGAGAGAGAGAGAGAAGAGAGAGAGAGAGAGAGAGGAGAGAGAGAGAGAGAGAGAGAGAGAGAGAGAGAGAGGGAGAGAGAGAGAGAGAGAGAGAGAGAGAGAGAGAGAGAGAGAGAGAGAGAGAGAGAGAGAGAGAGAGAGAGAGAGAGAGAGAGAGAGAGAGAGAGAGAGAGAGAGAGAGAGAGAGAGAGAGAGAGAGAGAGAGAGAGTGAGAGGGAGGGAGGGGGAGCGGGCAAAAAACTTGTGCCTTCACTCGTATGTTTATTCAGTCAATTGACTGGACTGCTACATTATATCCGTACTCCCAGTTCGCGGTCGCAGAAAAGATGTAACGCAGCCCTCACAGGAATTTCTCGTCTGGAAATAAAGGCCTTCAAAGCATACGGGAAAGCATCCGGGCTGAGAGCTATTACCAGTGCATGGGTTTGCTAGAAGCTGAGTCTTACCAGCAAACATCATACACGTATGTGATGTGTTATTTCTGTACTCCAGCTGTGACGACTGGGACAAAGCTGCCACGCCGCTGCAGTGATATGATATCCATCGTCTGGGGTAAGCAATGAAAGGCTGCACCCGAAAGAAAAGCCCCTGAGAGGAGATAAGCCTCGGTATTTTGCAACCGCAGAGTGAGGCTCGGGTTTACCTTCCACGAAACGAAATTTGGCAAGCTACCTCGAGCGAGCAATGCCATCCAACTGCAGCGAGACAGCCTAATCGCTGTCTCCACAACTGGGGTACCGGGAGACAGCAGCTCCCGCATGAGCATTCAGCTCGGACACAACGTCATCGCCAGCGCGTGCTCGACGCATCTCACGTGTTGCAATGCTGCATCGTCCACCAGCCGGAGATTGGAGCGCGCCGCCTTCTTGCCCGCAAAAAAGACGCCAAGCTTCTGCCACAGCGCCTTCTCCGGCTCTGAAGTCGAGACATGCGTGAGTTAACATGTTGGTGGTCCGCCACAAACACGGCGGCGGTCCACACAGTGTCGCTGCACCAGTGGCGTATCAGTGGTAAGCCATGCGGGCATGGTGTCACGGCAACCTGCCGCGGAACGGCAACATACATGTGGCTGGGTGAAAGCCAACAGACATGTTGCTGGGTGAAAAAAAAACATATTGTCGGATGGAACTCTGCAGACATGCTGCTGGGTGAAAGCCAACAGACATATTGCCGGGTGGAAGTCTGCAGACATGTTGCTGGGTGAAAGGGAACAGACATGCTGCTGGGTGAACACACACACACACACACACACACACACACACACACACACACACACACACACACACACACACACACACACACACACACACACACACCACACACACACAACACACACACACACACACACACACACACACACATATATATATATATATATATATATATATATATATATTATATATATATAACAGACATATCGGTGGATGGACGAGCCGTCATGAGACATGGAGGAGACATATGGACGTCACGAAACATCTGTGTCGAACCTAACCATGGGATGCTGCTTATGTAATGCACTTCAGTTCCCTACGGTACAGTCCAGCTTAGCAAACAACAGTTTTTTATTATTGCCTTCCCAATGAAAGACATATGCCGTTTCCAACACCGACGCGGGGCTCTAGCGATCACGGCACCCCCCCCCCCTTAAAAAACGCAAGCGAAGTGCGTCAGAAATATACCCACTTTTGCGCTTGGTCCTCTTGTGCTTGCTCGGCACGTCATCGTCTGAGGCGGCTGGGTCCTGCTCCTGAATAGAGTGACGGTCGTTAGAGCGCTTTCCACACAAGCATAGCTGTGGCCAGCGTGTGGCTGTTTTCCTACGTGCGTCAGCGCTGCTGTAGCGGAGGCGAGTTTCGGTTGCTCTTGTAGTTTATTTTTCTTCTCTCGTTTCCAAGCCTGAGGACTTAATGTGCAACTCTGCAGCTGTTTGTCTTAGCGAAGGGAGAACCACTGAAGCTCCCGCTCGTTTACACTACAGGATGGCTGCTCGAAATGTTTGATATAATTTGAAATGAAAAAAGCCCACTTCAAGTCTGTTCCTGCTCGCGGATGGGACGTCTCCCCGCAGGTGAATTGTTCTATTACACGCTATGTCAAGCATATTGACCGTGTTTCCACGACGCTCTATGTTGTGCAGACGGATGTGCCCTGCATCCGACATCAGCTGGAAAGCTAAAGGGATTGGACTATGTTTCATCAGCAAGTAGCATCGTGTGCCAGCTCGGCACCCCACACGCTGCGATCACGTAAGTCGTCTCTCACACAAACCCCGTATACACTCTGTCAGACCACAGCCCCCCCCCCCCCCTCAGCAGGCTGCAATGGAGCCTGTCGGCGCCGGCTCCGTCAGTCAAGCACACCGTCAGTGTATGCAAAACGGAGGAAAAGATGGTGCTGGTTGCTCCGGCTCATCCTCATTGTCGGGGAAAGCTCACATCCCCCCCCCCCCCCCTCCCCCAATCACTCAAGACAGGAACAAACACAAACACCCGGGATATACACAGCCCCAACAGTTGAGTTTGCCCTAAAGGCGCGGTGGCAAAGGCCCGAGTTGGCCACGTGCTATTAGAATACAGTTAAAGAACTTTGAACCGAAGACCTCACCTCCCACAAGGGGAACTCGGCCATCTCCAAGCTCCACAGCCCTTGGTGGCCGCCTCTGGAACTGGTTGCGGCTCCTCCTCGGCCGGCGGCGTTGTCATGACGACGGGATGGCGCCTCCTGGACATCTCCCGAGCTAGCTGCACCTGCAGATGCCCGAAGTGGCTCATCTATTATACGGTGTCGAATTACGTCAGATCATGTCGGAACATGTCGCTGTCACATTATGGAGCACCACGCACTGGACTCCTCCAGACGCCGGGATCTCCGCATTCAGTCAACGACGCTTCGCCATCAACGAACGAGATTATGCGCCGTTTGGGTTAAAAATAGTCTCGAAGTGACTCGTGCCAGGAAAGGCCATTGCGGACGATTGAGCGGATCAGTTGCTGCCAGTCCCGCTTAGCGCATGGTTTCGCTCCCGTCTGTACTGCGACACAGAAATGGAGCGGATATTTTTGGTCACATAACGGTGCAGCGCGACCCGAGCGCCGAGGAGTCTCAGCTCTCATGGGAGCTCGGGCGCCGCGCGCGCCGCCCGACGACCCGGCGGCTCCGGCACGTGCCCGTCGGTCGCTGCGTCGCTGCCGACGGTCGGCGGCGGCCTGCAGCCGGTCCTCGACGGCCTGCAGCGTCGGAGCTGGCCGCCGGCCGGCAGGCGGGTGGACGAAGAAGCCGCGGCCGCCGGCGGCGTCGCCCAGGGTGTAGCTGATGCCACCTAACGACCCGCGCCAGGCGTCACTGCTGCGGCGTGCCGCAGTGGGAGATCTGAACTGAATGGTATTTGATCTTGTTTGCAAGCACTCTGTGCCTGTGTCGAGTAAGGTGATGTAATCACTTAGAAGAAGCCAAAAGCACGTGTGCTAAAACCTAGTTTGTGTCGTGAAGCCGCTGCGGGCAGTAGATTGCAATCGGGGAATGCTTGAACTGAGCCTTATTTGGAGAACAGTTCATTAAGGCCCGCTACGACAACTGCATGCTGTGTTTGGTAGCCATGGCCAGAACTCAGCACTACGATGCATCTCAAATCGGTGGAAGGACACCCGTCTCCTCCGCATTGACAACTGAATGCGGCAGCATCAGCTGAATAAGCACGAGGCGTTTGCCACTCGAAGTAAAGGAATAACTGCGTCGCAAATATGTTGTGATCGCGTGATTATGGTAGGTGCACTTACCGCTGGTTTTAGCGAAGGAAAGAATGAAGTGCTGTGGGGCTACCTCCCTTCCAATGATTTGGCTGTGGGGCACCACATTCGTCTCCAGTGCCAGCGGGAACACGCACGCGCAGTACGCACGTGGGTAGCGGTGCTTCGGGAAGTTGGTGTTCGCCCAGTTTCGCTCCTCTTTCCTCTCATTCCACTTTTCGAGCGTCCTTCACGAAGTTTAAGGACGCCGGAGCCGGCACACCACAACCCAGAGGCCCTCGCGAAACCCGTTTCCCCCTACTGAGATCGTCGACGTCCCTCAGCCTGAGGCGCTCTGAGTTGGCAGGCGTCGCGGTCTTGGACGCTTTGGAGAGTTCAGAGCTTGTCGACTTGTTTGCCATCCAGGCTCTGCGCAAGATCGGCAGCCCGGCAGGGGATGAGGGCTGGGTCGGAGCGTGAGTTTTGCATCTTGATCAAATAGTCACGATAGAAAGGCACCAGAGTGAGCGGGACCCTGTCGACGCTGAATGGCACGCCGGCCGTGCTGGACACGTCCAAAAACTCGCCGCTCCTCCAGGTTGTGGAGTTCTACAGGCGAAGCCTGAATGAACGCAGTTTTTATCGCTCCAAAATTTTGAATATGCTTTAATATGACCGCTTCGGCTACATTTTGTTAGCAATTTTGCGACGAAAGACTAATTTGAACAGCCATAGTGGAAAAGTATTCGTTTATCTGCTCGTGCCTCTTTGGGTCCGGTACCTCTAGTTTCGTCTAGCCATGCGCTTCCTCAAGATGTATCACAGCGGACGAGGGAGACAAAAGGTACGATCACGACTCATTTATTTAACAATTCCAGCACGACCTAAAAAACTTATTCAGTCACCGACACACGGTTCGAGAAACCTTTGGCGGTGACATCATTGCCACTACGGACCCTACATTGAGCCACATTTGGTATGATCGCTAATGCATTTATAATCCCGCCTAAGTGTCTGCATGTTTGTCCAAGCGCACAACTACCCATGCGGCTCGTCTTCTTCGGTACGGACAGCCGCGGCAGGCTTTCTGCCGTCCACTCGATCCCGTGCCGCACTGTCTGCCAGCCTGCTGATGGCGAACATCACTCGGCCGCGGCCGGCGTCATCTGCAGCAGCCTCTGCCGCTCCTGCTCCTGCTCCCGTTCCCGCTCCTCGCGCTCGGTGCAGAGGAACCAGTCCTCCTCCAGTGTCTCCGATAACCAGTCGCTCTCCTGGCTCCCGACGGCTTCCGGACCGGCCTGCGTCTCCACCGTCTCCTCCGCTTGACACTTTTCTCCGAGAGACATAGAACCGTTTCCGGAAGATGCAGGGGTCCCCCTCGCAGACTGTGGACCCGTCTCTGGGAGGATCAGCGCTCTCCACGGGAGACAACGCTCCGTCTCCAGGCAGACAAAGCCGTATTTCCTGCGTGAGTCGGCTGCGTCGCCGCGCTGCCGGTCTCCGGGGAGGAGACGGAGGCTGGTGAAGAGGCAGCTTCGATCTCCAGCCGAGCCAGGCTGGCGGCAGCTGCCTGGAGCTCCGCCATCTCCACGGACGGGCACTGGAAAACGTGTTCAGCACTGAACTCAAGCGGCACTGAGACGCCAAACTGATGTAGCCGAAGCAGAACATGTTAAGCGACCTCAGCTCCAGTGGCTACATTACATTGCACGGCGTTTACAAATGCGCAGGAAACATGTCTTCACATTAAATACCCAGACACCCTATTGCTTCATGGGCAAGTATAACAAAGTATCGAAATCGCAATCACAAAAAAACTTGAAGTCTTCCAGGGCCCCACACACAAATAAGGTTAATGTCCTCACGAATTATATAGTTTCATTAGCTGTGTGTATGGTGTACCCGTCGTGAAATGAGGACAATTCGAAAGGCAACGCGATGTTGTCTTCACGAGGTACAAATTCAGTTGCATATTTAACATGATTTATTTTCGGCGCTTTTGCATAGGAAATTTTTACTGAAAAAGTTAAGAGCAGGCTCAGTTCGCATCGGGCTTTGCCACGTCCGACCTATCGTGTAGGCCGTGGGATCTGAACCTTCTGTGTCGGGATGGTAATATAATGACCTATATTTCAAATAACGTTCTGACCCACCATTTTAGGGCTGTCGTGTTCTGATTTGCTGAGTCAGAACTGTTTTTGGGGGGAGGGGAGGGGGAATGCCATGCACGTCGTCGTCATGGGCTAAACCACCACTGCGTTTAATTGAGTCCGGACCGCAATAACTTTTGGGCAGATTAGAGTACCTTTGGGTTTTGACAACGCCAAATGGCGCCAACATAGACCTAAAACCCAATAACAACTAAGGCGTGATAACCTAGACGGCCGTCGCTTAGCCTTTTACCGAGCGCCAGCGAATGGCGCGGTCATGCCAGCGATCACAGTCACGGACCCATCCGAGCTGAACCCCGACGCCCCACATTGCGGCCAGGCGCACCAAACGCTTGTCAAGTACGTCCCTTGTCCAGCTGCGCCACCTGTCCTCTGCTTCAGTTCGCCTCCCCCCACCCCCCGCTGTGTCGGGCCGTCATGACTGACCTTCCGTGTCGGGGTCGCGGCACGCTGGTCTGCTGTGTCGGGACTGCAGTGTACTGGCCTGCTGTGTCGGGGCTGCAGTGTACTGACCTGCTGTGTCGGGGCTGCAGTGTACTGACCTGCTGTGTCGGGGCTGCAGTGTACTGACCTGCTGCGTAAGGGCTGCAGTGTACTGACCTGCTGTGTCGGGGCTGCAGTGTACTGACCTGCTGCGTAAGGGCTGCAGTGTACTGACCTCCTGTGCCGGAATTGTGGCGTACCAACCATCCATATCCGCACTGCAGAGGAGTCTCTGGCCTGTAGTTGGCCTGTAGCCTGCGGTCCAGGTCCTAACGTAATGTCTGAACAGCGATGTGCTGGGCTGCCGCGTCGAGACCGTGACGTATACCGACCTTCGGTGTCCGGGCCGTAGTGCACTTAAATATGCGCTGGTGTCCGTCAGATAAAGGCCTGTCATATCGAAACTGTCATGTGCTGGCCCGGAGCCTCGGGATCGCGTCGTACTTACCTTCCGTATGCCATGGTTGTGCTACACTCACTTGCTGTGCTACGACCGTGGTGGATTGACCTGCTGCGTTTGCGGAATTTGACCTCCCAGAGCGGCGAGTCGGAGCGCTCATGACTTGACTGACCTGCTGTTCCCTTGCTGTAGTGTACTGACCTGCTGTGTGCGGGCTGTATGTACTGACCTGCTGTGTGTGACCTGTATATACTGACCTGCTGTGTGCGGGCTGTATAAACTGACCTGCTGTGCGTGGGCTGTATGTACTGACCTGCTGTGTGTGTGCTGTATGTACTGACCTGCCGTGTGTGACTTGTGGTGACCCTGTCCGCCTGTCTCAGTAGTCGCAGCACGAGCTCGCAGGCTGCAGTGTACTGACCTGCTGTGTGTGGGCTGTATGTACTGACCTGCTGTGTGTGACCTGTGGTGACCCTGTCCGCCTGTCTCAGTAGTCGCGGCACGAGCCCGCAGGCTGTCCTCCAGGACCGGTCCAGCCGGCCCTGGTCCGGCGACCCCGGCCTGTCCCTCGCGCCGGCGCCGCCCAGCCTCTTTTTCTTTTTAGACGCCTCCGACATCATTACCTTGAAGGGAACATCATTTCAGTGAAGTCTTGAAATGCAACGGCGCGTTACACGCTGAGGAGCTTCAACCCGAACAAATGTGGCGCAGGCTGGACTGCTGCTCAAGTTTACCATCTGACGATTGCGGGCATTTAGTAACCTTAGATTTTCCGCCTTGTCTGGCGTATTGACGGTGCCCACATGCATGGGGGCAGTCATGTGCGATACATAGACAGTCTTGTTGCATTATAGTCCTTTCAACGTTGGTGAATAAGTTTATCCGTCTGGCAAGGCCGCGTGATCTCAGGGAGTTCTCACCAGCACTTACACCGGTATGTTCTATTTTGTTTTAAACAAATCAATGTTGGGTTCCAGAGGTACGCAAGTGCGCAGTAAACAGTGCAGCAATGTACACATGATGTTATTCTACTCAGCGCGGTAATGGAACGCCTACGGACGGAAGGGACACGTGAACAATGCATGTACAAATGTCCAGACTCCTGCTCTGACAAGATGTGTGAGGTGCGTGTGCATGGTTGTGTACCGCAGCTGGGCCCCGGTCCGGCGGGGGCCCACCCACCGAGAGAGGCACTCCGAACATGGCGACGGTGTGTGCACGGTTGTGTACCGCAGCTGGACTACGGTCCGGGGGGTCCCACCCACCGAGAGAGGCACTCCGAACATGGCGACGGTGTGTGCACGGTTGTGTACCGCAGCTGGGCCCCGGTTCGGCGGGGGACCCACCCACCGAGAGAGGCACTCCGAACATGGCGACGGTGTGTGCACGGTTGTGTACCACGGCTGGGGCCCGGTCCGGGGGGGGGGGGGGGCGGCCCACCCACCGAGAGAGGCACTCCGAACATGGCGACGGTGTGTGCACGGTTGTGTACCGCGGCTGGGTCCCCGGTTCGGCGGGGGCCCACCCACCGAGAGAGGTACTCCGAACATGGCGACGGTGGCGCCGGCCGGCTGCGGCTCCGGCTCTGACTCCGGCTCCAGCTCCGGGTCCGGCTCCGGCTTCCGCTGCGGCTCCGGCCCCGGCTCCGGCTGGGTCGGGTCGTCGCGGGGAAGGCCGGCGCCGTCGATCACGTAGCAGCCGGGGGAGATGTAGCCGCCGGCGACCACCTCCTCCTCCGAAGACGAATCCACTTTGGCGCTCGCGGTCGCGGTCAAGGCCGGGTCGGTGGAGGTCGTGACCTCTGGTGCCGGCCACGTGTCTGCCGCACGGAATGACGGGTTGGGGGGGGGGGGGGGGGGGGTACCTCAGGCGCGCGCTTGCCAGGGATTCGATACAACCGGGCACCACTCAGGTGGTCGTCGATAATGCTGCACCTCGTTTAGTTAAAGTTGTGGGAGCGTCTGATGCTTCATACTTCGCCCACATCAGACCAAAACAGTTGTGCGACACAAGTATGTCGTTTGAATTTTGGGAGTAAATCGGACAGGAGTGGTGTGTGTGTGTGTGTGTGTGTTGTGTGTGTGTGTGTGTGTGTGTGTGTGTGTGTGTGTGTGTTGTGTGTGTTTGTGTGTGTGTGTGTGTGTGTTGTGTGTGTTGTGTGTGTGTGTGTGTGTGTGTGTGTGTTGTGTGTGTGTGTGTGTGTGTGTGGTGTGTGGTGTGTGTGTGTGTGTGTGTGTGTGTGTGTGGTGTGGTGGGTGGGTTTGTGTGTGGGTGTGTGGTGGGTGTGTGGTGAGAGAAAGAGAGAAGAAGAGAGAGAGAGAAGAGAGAGAGGGAGAGAGAGAGAGAGAGAGAGAGAGGAGAGAGAGAGAGAGAGAAGAGAGAAGAGAGAGAGAAGAGAAGAGAGAGAGAGAGAGAGAGAGAGAGAGAGAGAGAGAAGAGAGGAGGGAAGAGAAAGAGAGGGAAGAGAGAGAGGGGGAGAGGAGAGGGAGAAGGGAGGGAGAGAAGAGGAGAGGAGAGGAGAGAGAGAGAGAGAGAGAGAGAGAAGAGAGAGAGAGATGAGAGAGAGAGAAAGAGAGAGAGAGAGAGGGAGAGGAGAGGGGAGAGAGAGGGAGTCACCACAGGTGCCTGGGCCCTTCAGCTTGTCGCTGTGCCGTCTAGTCGGTTTGGAGGCGGCCAGGAACCTTCGTTTGACTCGGCTGCCCCAGCGACTGGCCCGGCTCGACGATTGGTCGGCGTCGGCAAGCACAAGCTGGAGAGCAAAGACAAAACAATCGATCAGCTCTTATCAAACCACGTATTCAAATATAGTTGAAATTATGTGCCAATAGCCGAACATTGCTGAGCAAAACGTTGCCAACAACTGAGCCTGACCCTGAGATGCATCAGTTTCACCATGCTTCACGTTTATCATGTCTCTATTCGTCATGCATAAAAGGGAACGCAATGTACGGGGTCACGACCCTTTTTGTGGAGAGTAAGCAACCGCATGTACTGTTGTCGTTTTTCCCAAAACGCTATGTGTCATAACTATGGAGAGTCAGCAACTGCATTTGCCGTTGTCATTTTTCCCTAAAAATCTATGTTTCATAATTATGAAGAGTCACCAACTGAATTCGGCGTTGCCGTTTTCCATAAAAAACTATGCTTCATAATTGCTGTTATATCTGCGACCAATCACTCTACAAAGCATAACTCGATGCACTCCAGCTGACAGATAGACAGCACCGAGAGACAGTTCTTTTGACTTCAATCCAAGAGAACTGCTCAAAATGCCACCGCCCCAACCGACCTTCAAAAAGGCATGCTAAGCCAAGCATTTTGGAAGTGCCTGATTGCTAGATATTTTCCCCGGTTTACCAGTGTGCTAGAAAACAAGATGCCGTTCAGCTGAAGTAAAACTGACTTAAAATAATTTGTTGCTTTTTCAACAATAGCCACTTAAAACAATATACGGTTTCCTTCTGGTGATACTATGTTGCTTGCTTACGTCCTATCTTGTTTGCGAGCATTATTTCACTGATCCTATACGCACGATGCCAATCGGCAACTTGACTTCTTTGGATACATAACAACGGTCAAAGAAAAGACACTGAGTATACATGTTTCAAGACAACATAACCCAACCGGTTTGACAAGCAGGTCGAATCATAAGCAAACGGTACCGTCCGACATCACTGGCAGTGTTTGTTTTGTGGATTTTCATTTACTGATAAGCTGCGTTTTGCCTGCACGATAACATCACTATCACATTCAAGAAATAAAGAACAGGCAACATGCTAAGTTGATGTTTCACGTGTCTTAATCGATAATCGCTTGCCCCAGACTTTGTCTTACTTATATACTTGTTGCCCTTACTCTTCAGTGTGCACGTGCATATGTTCCTCAGAAAACAGCGCATATTGACACTGGAGGGAATGGTAATTGCAATATAAACAGCTCAATGGGCGGCCCAGTAGCGGGCAAACTGCACAAAACGCCACATCCGGCAGACAGATAACGCATTTCAGTGGCTGGGTCCCTTAAGATCTCCATGGCTGTATCTTGGAAATTAATATCCAGAACACTTTGCTACCAGCGTGTTTCTTAACGGCTTTGAGTGTCGCTTATCTGTTTTACGGTGGATGCTCTACCTGGCCCGTTACTCGTTACCCGGCCGGCTATTGGTTACCAAAGGCTGGCGTGTCCATGAACCATTTAACTTCCTTCGTAAGCCAACTTTTCTCAGAAAGCTTCGGGTGGTCGTGTAGCGCACTTACAGTCCAGGGCGCATGAGTCACAGCTCCTCGACTCGCCGCCTAATGGGATTGGGAACAGCTTTGCTGAAATGTGTGGCCGGGCCTGAATAACGCCGACGCCTTCTGACCGCGTGCGGTGAGAGATTGTTCAGGTGCCTGCTCACCGCCTGCGGTGAGAGGACGGCAGCCTGGGCGCCTGCTGATCGCGGGCGGTGAGAGAATGGCCGCCTGGGCGCCTGCTTACCGCTTGCGGTGAGCGGATAGCCGTCTGGGTGCCTGCTTACCGCGTGCAGTGAGAGGATGGTCGCCTGTTTACCGCGTGCAGTGAGAGAACGTTCGCCTGAGCGTCTGCTTACCGCTTGCAGTGAGAGGATGGCCGCCTGGGTACCTGCTTACCGCTTGCAGTGAGAGGACGGCAGCCTGGGCGCCTGCTTACCGCTTGCAGTGAGAGGGTAGCCGCCTGGGTGTCTGCTTACCGCGTGCAGTGAGAGGGTAGCCGCCTGGGTGCCTGCTTACCGCGTGCGGTGAGAGGGTAGCCGCCTGGGTGCCTGCTTACCGCCTGCGGTGAGAGGATGGTCGCCTGGGCGTCTGCTTACCGCGTGCAGTGAGAGGATGGTCGCCTCGGCCCCTGCTTACCGCCTGCGGTGAGAGAATCACCACCTAGGCGCCTGCTTACCGCTCGCAGTGAGAGGATGGCCGCCTGGGTGGCTGCTTACCGCTTGCAGTGAGAGGATGGCCGCCTGGGCGACTGCTTACCGCTTGCAGTGAGAGGACGGCAGCCTGGGCGCCTGCTTACCGCTTGCAGTGAGAGGATGGCCGCCTGGGTGCCTGCTTACCGCGTGCGGTGAGAGGGTAGCCGCCTGGGTGCCTGCTTACCGCCTGCGGTGAAAGGATGGTCGCCTGGGCGCCTGCTTACCGCCTCCGGTGAGGGGATCACCACCTAGGAGCCTGCTTACCGCCTGCAGTGAGAGGATGGCCGCCTGGGTGCCGCCGTCAGTGGGCGAGGGTGCCGACTCGGGCTGGGGGGAGACGTCGACCGCCGGCCGGGTCCTTGGTGCGCAGCTCACGGGGAATCTGCACCGCAGCAGTATGCACCACGTCACCGTCACCAGCTGTAGTAGCGGGGCTAGTAGTAGTAGTAGCAGGGCTGTAGTAGCATCGGTACCGTAACCACATCGACATCATCATCCCATAACAGTATACTTGGGCTTAACAATGTCGACATCACAGGCGACAGCGTCCATCATCATGAAATCAATATCATGATCTTTACAATCATAGCATTACTGTTGACATCATCATCAATGTCATATAATCAATAACATCAGCTTTATAACCCTAGTATCAATGTCGATATCACCATACACGACACCACCGTCAGTGTCATTTTCATCGTCATATTTGCCGTCAGTATAATTCTATCTGTAGCTCCACAGTGTTCATGCATGCGTTCGTATTTTTCGCTGCAGAATTAGTGTTCATCCTATGCAAGCTGCCAGCCAACTGCCGGCTTGCGCGAATTATGGTGATATAGTCGAATGGTTTCCAACATGGAATGAAATGTACCTATGCAGGGAAAAGGTACGCACACGTACACATAAGCGCAATAAACAACACAAGTGTAGACATTGCTTAGTTGTCAACACAAGTCCGTATCAAATGGTGCCGTCTCGGTGCTGACAACTGAGAGGATCAGTGATACGCGGTGGGGAATCCATAAACGAGCGGCCGCTCTATGGTCGGACGGACCAGTGCCCGGCCTTGCCCGACGTAAGCCGGCTGTAGTGTTCACCACAGTGTGTCGGGCGGCTGTAGTGTTCACCACAGTGTGTCTGACAGCTATAGTGTACACCACAGTGCTTCGGGCAGCTGTAGTGTGCACCACAGTGTGTCGGGCGGCTGTAGCGTTCACCACAGTGTGTCGGGCGGCTATAGTGTGGACCACAGTATGTTGGGCAGATGTAGTGTGCACCACAGCGTGTTTGGCGACTATAGCGTACATCACAGTGTGTCAAGCGACTGTAGTATGCACCACGGTGTGCCGGACGGCTGTAGTGTTCGCCACAGTGTGTCTGACAGCTAGAGTGTACACCACAGTGCTTCGGGCAGCTGTAGTGTTCACCACAGTATGTCGGGCGGCTGTTGTGTAAACCACAGTGTGTCGGGCGGCTGAAGTGTGTACCACAGTGGGTCGGGCGGCTGTAGTGTAAACCACAGTGTGTCGGGCGGCTGAAGTGTTCATCACAGTGTGTCGGGCGGCTGAAGTGTTCATCACAGTGTGTCGGGCGGCTGAAGTGTTCATCACAGTGTGTCGGGCGGCTGTAGTGTTCACCACAGTATGTCGGGCGGCTGAAGTGTGTACCACAGTGGGTCGGGCGGCTGAAGTGTTCATCACAGTGTGTCGGGCGGCTGAAGTGTTCACCACAGTGTGTCGGGCGGTTGTTGTGTGCACTACAGTGTGTCGGGCGGCTGTAGTGTGCACTTCAGTGTGTCGGGCGGCTGTCGTGTCTACCATAGTCTGTCGGACGGCTCGTGTCCACTACAGTGTGTCGGGCGGCTGTAGTGTGCACCGTAGCCGTAGCACCTGAGAAGCAACAATGTGTGCTGTTCCGGTACTGTGCAATCGTGATCAGAAACATTTGCTGCTGACTGCCGAGAGTGAGTGCCGATAGTGCGGTGGAGAAGCTGCGTGCATGGTAAACCTGAAGTACAGGGTTCGATTCCTTGCGGTGCCCGACCTTCCCGTTAGGGTGAGAAACAGGCGACGCCATGCAGCCTCAGCAGCTGAGTGAGTCGTAAAGCTCCAGTGGCGGCGACGAAACCCAAGTTCTGAACGCGGGTTCTGCACTCAGGTGAACTCGAAGCTAAATCGTTGTGTCTTTTCTGTGCTGATGAAAGCTAGCGTACACGTATGGAAATGTGCGAATTTTGAAATGAGTGTGAACCCGTAAATCAGCACCATTAGGACCCTAGCAGTCTTAGTTGTGGCTTGTAGGCTGCCATGCTGTGGGGAGAGCGAGTCCCGGAAGACTGAACAGCTTTTAGCGGTCATATAAATGATGTACACAAGCTAACGAAGCGAAAACCACAAAGCTACCAGCAAACACCTCTGACAGCCATTACCAATGAATTTGATCAGCTACTTGGAAAGTCGGCCCACTATGACAGCATCCTAACAATCAAATGTCTATTACAGTAGCCTTCGACGCCAATCCCCGAATGGCATTGGTCAGACTTTGGCAGACCTGGCCTGATGACGCCAGACCTGGCGGAAGAAATCAAAGAATTTGCAACGATTTGTGTTTGATAACTGTGGCCAATAGATTGCAAAAACCGCGAACATAATGAGCCGGTAAACGTAACTGACAACTGGGCTGAACGCACCTACGCCTGTGTAATGCGAGAACGCCGAACGCACATACGCCTGTGCAATGCGAGGAAGTCTGCGTGGTATTTGTGGCTGATTCAGTTAAGGCAACAACAAGAGACATGCACAACTATTTCTGCCCATTTTACTTTTTAATTTACTTTTTACTTTTTAGATTTTAAGCTTCCCATATTACTACGACGGAAAGGACGTTAGTAGGAGGTATTTGGTCTATATTGCACCACGACTTGTACACAAAGGCCTAGAAATAGATATATCACGGGTTGTACAGCATCGTGCTTTTCCTTGCGGAAAACAGCACGCAGTTGCAATGAGTGGTTGCCAAGGCATCAACTTCCAGAAAACGTAGGCCGGGCAGGACGTTAAGTTGAAAACGTTACACAAATCCCGCCAAAAAATGTTTGAACAAATACTCCCAATATACTGCAACATGGTTAGTGCTAGGATAAGGTGTATGCGTGTGTATGCGTGTGTGCATGTGTGCATGCGCACGCGTTTGTGTGTGCGTGTGCGTGTGTGTGCGCGCGCGCGCGTGTGTGTGTGTGTGCGTGTGCGTGAGTGTGTGTGCGCGCACGCGCATGCGCGTGTATGTGTGTGCTCGAACGCGCGGGTGCGTTGTGTGCGTATGTGTGCGTGTTTGGATGTGTGATGGCCGCCTAGCACCGACCTCTGGCTTGCCATTGGTGCCAGCCGGGATCAGTCTGCCGAGCATCACCGTCCGACGAGCCAGCTGTTCGCGGAACGTCTCGACCAGGGCGCGAGTCCGTCCCACCTGGTGCTGGATACCTGCCCCGACACAGGCGTCACCCTCGTCACCCTCGTCACCAGAGCGTCTCGCGCCTAGCACACGCCAGCACAGATAGCTGCCACTTCTATGGAGACGTTCACTATATATATATATATATATATATATATATATATATATATATATATATATATATATATATATATAATGACCTGTATCAAAGGCAACCGACTTTTGTTACAGTGAACTGAAAGCACTTAGTCGCAGACCATTTTGTGCAATGCTATGGATATCCGTGGCTAACCTGATGATCGAGACCTTATAATGCTGCATTTGTTGCCGAATAATGCAGTTGTTGATAAAGTGACGTAATCTTTAGAATGGCTTACGGAGGAAAGCGCACGATTGCAGCAGGTTTAATATGTTTCACCAGGCTGTTGCGTTTTAGGGTGTGTCACACGCATGGCTGCAAAGCGAGGACGCTAACCTATTAGGCACTGCCGATCTCTATTGTATTAATGATCTGACCTGCATCGCCAGCCTTGATGCGGACCCTGGAGAGAGCCATTTTGACCTGTGACGTCATCGTAAACAGGTTTACCAGGTTCCGTAGCACAATCACAAGCTGCGAATCAAATAGACACATGCATGTGATGGTCCCTCAAAACAAAAAAAGGTCGGCGATTTTCTCTTACTATCGTATCACTGCTAATGTATTTATGAACACAAGGTATTTTTGTGATTTGGCAGTTATACAAATCTGAAAATTGTGAAAATGTATTTTGCATTCCGACAAAGAAGGGTGACCTGTTTACAAATTTACGTGAGCTGTGCTGGAGGACCCTTTGGGGACAACATCCAGATCCCCCGAAGTTCTTGGACATTGGAGTCTTGTTTATACCACACGCCATACATTTTCACCCCCAAAAGCTCCAATCTCCCGCCTCTGTGGAGAAGCGAGATATGAAATCCGATGAGCCTAGTCAAAACAAAGGCAAACAACAAGCACACAAGCGACATACCACCTCACATGTTTACGCTCGATCAATGCGCCTCTCCGAGAGACTGCCCGAGCACTGGAGCGGCCGTCTGCCCAGCGCGGCTGTGTCGGCGGGGCTACAGCGCGCCCGGCAGCTAGGCAGCGGCCAGGCGGACCAGGACTCACCTCCGCTGCACCGCAGCTCGCCGATTCGTCACTGTCCCGGGAGAGGCTCGCGGCAGTCGCATCGCCCGGGGCGATATGACCCGCTCCATCAGCCGGGTCACGGGGACGGCCGGCCGAGCGCCCCACGGGAGGGCTGGGGGCGGCCATAGGTCAACAGCAGACGCCAGATAGTGGTCAGGCCCCGCTGGTCAGTGCAAGTGAAGATGATGACTGCGGCAGGGATACTGTACAGGCGTGCGAGGCTTGCATTGAATAAACTGAGTTGCGTTTTAGTGAGAATTGAGGCGGTTGTGTTCGGAAAGGGAGTCCTGTTTTGCTGATGCTGGCAATTTAATCGCTTGTGTGAAGTCTTCCGAGAGATATCATATAATCTGATATATTATGTTTTTTTCCTTTATGTATATATATATATATATATATATATATCTCTCTCTCTCTCTCTCTCTCTCTCTCTCTCTCTCTCTCTCTCTCTCTCCTCTCTCTCTCTCTCTCTTCTTCTCTCTCTCTCTTCTCTCTTCCTCTCTCTCTCTCTCTCTCTCTCTCTCTCTCTCTCTCTCTCTCTCGTTCGCGTAGGGAAAAGGTGGTTTCATAGCAAAGATGAGGGAACTGCATCCATGAAGCGTATGCCGAATCATTTGAACTTAGTTTATGATTCTGAGGACCACTTTTTCGGCAGAACCTGGACAACATTTAGTGCAACAGCAGTCGAGAAATTGCTGTTTTGGAGCTTGCTTAAAACTGCACGTGAATAGTGCCTGTACTGCACGCGAATAGTGGAACGCACACGGATTAGGGATATTGTTCTGAGACCGTCGCATACGTTCCGATGGATGACCGATTTGTATGGTTCTTAGAACCGCATACCATAAGCGAGAGCATGAAGCAAAGTTTTCAGTCGGAGGCACCCAAACCCTCCTCTTTTCATCCATAGCGTGTAGGTCAGTCCTGGCGGCTTGGAAATACCCCCTCACAAGCCTAGCCAACATGCTAATAAGAATGAATTAAAACTAAACACAAGTAATTCAAAAAAGGGAATCGAATAAAAATGAAATAGCTCGGTGGAAAAAGTGGATTTGTTTTGCAAAATTAATATAAAGGGTTCGAAAACCGCCGAGAAATCAAAACTTGAAGATATGCTGAATTGGATCAGCAATGGTTGAGCCTGGCTGATGTGTTTTTCAATGATCATGGCCGACCGCCGACCGCCGACTCAAACAAGAAGTTTTGAATTGCGTGGACATGAAACCATGACCACCACTAAACCCCTGCAAGAATACGACTGATATGCAAGTGACCAAAACATTATGTAAAAATGTTTCGGTTGGATGGGGTCGTTACGAAGTTTTGTTTTCCCTTTAGCTTTAGAGTCTTTGTGTGCTCTCCTTATAGCGGAGTGCTCCCAATGTTATAAACGCGCGCCATTCGACGCCGATTCCGAGGGAAGGGTTTGCTCTTGTTGGCCTTAGAGTCATATGTTTGCAAATGAAATAAAACGAAAATAATTTCCATCTATGGCCTCCGCGCGTTGCCAAGCCCATGGTAAGCAACTCAAAAAAGGGAGCCAAGCTGAAGCATGCGTGGTGGTACATACCCATACTGCGAGGAAGATAGAACGCATCTCATGTGTTAGAACTGACGTGACACCAGTTCTGAAAAGCTTCGGACAGTAAGCTTTAGCTGCACGTTGAGACGTCCATTGAAATCTAAATATGGTGTTGTTACTGAGCTTATCCTCAAGCAAGATGTTTCCCGATAGCTAGCGAGAGAGTTAATATACAATTTACTCATCACAAGAAATAGTGAAATGTTCAAAACGAACACCCACCTTATATTGCGTTGTACTTGACGGCCATGCTTGTTGGAGCTGTCCTTGATTACTGCTCGACCCAAATCGTGACATGCTGGGCCTCTTGGCATTCCCTGCATCTGTGGCACGTAACTGCTGTTTGCCCCAGTCTGATTAACGGCCATTTGCTGCAGATGTGGTGGACAGTTCCTGGTCAAATGACTTGGAAGAGGTGGAGGGGGGACCATCTTCAAGATAGTCAAGGGAAGAGGAAAGAGTGGTGGGGGAGGGATTGATCGCATTGTATCTTGCCTGCCTATGACTGGCGGTGGTGTGTTCCGCAGCAGCTCCAACAGGGGTTTGCTAGACGTAGACATAGCTGGCTAACTGTCGCTTCTGGTATGCATGTGATGCTGAACAATGTTCACTCAATACAGTGCGGGTTTCTTCAACGGCGTTCATCAAAAATGATTTCCCGAAAAACGACAGCTTGATAAAATAGCGCCAATGAGCACGATATCACAAAAGAGTTTGATGCATATGACACGATTTTAAAGTAAACTTTCTCGCGTCGGAAAAGCGTGCCATTTGCGACGCATATGCTTCGTTGTCCAGAAATCTAATAGCTTCACGGAAGCAGATTTCAATAACAGCATTTAGATGGTCCTAGAACCTTATATCTGGTTTCTCTTCAGAATCCTAGGCATGAAAGTCCACCGAGATCTTTTCGGTTCCGGTATGAAATCACGGAATATGAGAAATAGTGGAATGCAAACACTTGTGACAGCTTGTTAACATGTGGCAAGTATCATTTTTCTCTGAACGGGCATGACACCTCCAGACAAGCGTTACGGGAAAAATCGCATGGTTCACATGATCTAAGACTCACTGAAGGTGGCACAAGAACGGGTACTAATCAGGAATACATTCTGCAGTTCTGCTTATTCCAGATACAGATTCCCCTCTCGCGTAAAGAAGAGGAGATCGTTCCTGACGTGTGGTGCCTGCGGGCATGCGATAGGGTGCAGACAGCTACTTTGCAGATCGTGGCTGATAAAACAATCACGGCACTACACTGACTGTCAGGCTGCGATGCATGGCGAACTACGACGCCGCTACAAGGTTTGGTACCCTCCAGGTTACCCGTATTGTTCCGCTCCGCCATGCCTCTGTGCGGTGTGACGTAGTTCTTCATGGGTCATGCGCAGGGGTGACGTAAAAGGAGGAGGGAAAATAGCGTTTTATTTGCCTTCCCATTTTCGGGAGGCAGCTTTAACACAAAACGGAGTTTCGGTGTTTCACATGTGCACAATATCTATATACAAGGCTGGGTGAGCTAGCTGAACCAACTAATAATTGACTAATAATTAATTAACTGATTACTGAACTAGAGGGCCTTTTGTCGGGTTCAGGAGATCCCTTCATGCAGCAACTCATTTTGAGATCAGATAGCCGCCAACCGTGGATCGGGAGGACACAGACCACACCACGCATAACTGGAAACACATGGGTTTGGTTCATAGAATCATCTTACATCTTCAATAAGCATCTTAGTCTGATAACAGAATACACGGCAATCAGCGTAGATTATTTGAAATCTGGTCATAGTTAAGCCCAAAGGTATGGGTCCTCAGCATCTAAGAACAATCCGAATCACTTTTCACAATAGATCTGTTGCTTTCCACGACTCAACTCCGGCTTATCAACAAGACATTGCTAACTGAAAATATGGAAATTGGAATGCTTAGCAGCTGCCTTGAGCTGACCCCGTAAAACGCTCCCATTACTATCTACGACCCGAAAAATGAAATGGGTTTTTCTTAGCCGCCCCCGCCCACAGAGCTCAAAATTCCTTTATGACAAGCGAGCCTTATTTTCCGCAAGTTAGGGAGGCATGTACAGTAGATATAGTTTTGAAGACCAGAAATAGTTTTCTGTGGAGGTCTGTTTGCCTTCTTTCCCTCGGTGTAAGAACAAGGGTGGGGGGGGGGGGGGACAAGGGAGCCATGGCCCCATCTTTTTGGGAATGTCTAACATTAACTAGCGATCCATGCAAAGAATCGATTTCTAGATTGGCACTGGCACACCGCGACCCCCACGCCCAACTTCTGAGATGTTCCTGCAGGTAAGCTTCCACCCATCAAAACTCAGTAGGCCCATCGGAGAGTCTTGTCCAGGAGGCCTCTGCGCGGAGATTCTATTTTCCCAAGAAAATTATAACCTAGCACAACTCAAATCCGTGCGGGCGCCTCGAAGGACGAGGCGTTGCATTGGAGAGCATGAATGCAAATTTGAAACGAAAATGTCGTGTTCGAAAATTGCCTATCTATACGCTGACGTAACTCATCACTAAGGAACATTCGGGTTGCATGGCATGCCAGGGATGGCGCAGGATTTGCCATCGTTGCTGCGCCGTCCGAATGAGCGTGGTAGTTCTCCATTTCAGCGGCCGTTGGTGGTGGAACCCCTCAGCTGTGAAACGAGGCCAGTCAATGTTGAATGATTGAATCGATTGCTTGCAACATTTAAGCAAGCGACTATTCAGCTCGGCGTTCAATCTTTGACAAATTAAACACTGTTCGGTGGACACCTTGCATGCGAACTTCTTCCTGGTTCGGACGTCCAACCTTTAAAAACAGCCTGACCTGCCTTAGAGCGTGTGGCCAATTAGATACCGCAAATAATACTCATAACCCTAGCGTATAATAATTGCTTCCGTGTACCATGGCGATGAATGTCGGATCGACAGGAAACCCAAGGAGCATCAGCAAGCCGCATTCCTCCGTCAATGTAGGCTTTCAAGCAGCAGATGGCGGCACAATTGTATTGCTAGATGTCGCTAGGTGCGTAATATCAGTCCACCAGACAATCCTCTGCCGCATTGATCGAACTGCATCGCTCGAGAAGCGAAAGTTGCATGTCATGGATAACTGTAGAAATCTGCCATGGTAAGACTAGCCGCAATAGAACAAAAAGTCTAGTCTGCTTGGCCATAAACAGTCCTTGCCTTCACGCCACTGCAACGCGTCTTCACAGCTATTTGTTCCGGCAAATTTTCTTCTTTTTTAAGGATTTAATCCGAGCCTTTTGCATGGGTCGATTTCTGGGATGAGGGCTCACTTAAGCAGTGCTTGCTGCATGAGCCCTGACCCCTACCATTTGATCGCACAATGTCGGGCAACGGCAGAATTTAGTGGCGAAAGCTTAACATGCCGCAATGCTCGGCACGGTCCGTCCTGCCCTTTGACGTCACCTGACCTTTCGCGCGGCCGCTGCCACCGGCCGCAGGCCATATCTGTCAAAGATAACAGCGAGCGCCTAAAGCGACTCGAGCCCGCCCTGCCACGGATGGGTGGGTCGGAGTGCAGGCGCGCTGACCAACCGAGCCACCGGGACGGACAAATGACCATACAATCTGAAATCTGCTCCTCTATTCTCACTCACCGCCTCGTCCCAAATCCTCGTCAGGTCCGTCTCACCGGGCTGCCTGTGGTGGCAAGCTTCAAGCCACCCTCACGGATATCCTGGCGCAAGCCCCGCACCATGTATCTTTATGTCATAAGCATATCATGGCACATATCATCACGTATCATGTGTAGTGTATCTTATCATATCATATGTCGTGTGTCGTATCATCCCATGTATCGTGCATCCCATCACATCCGGCGTCGCTTAGCTCATCATATCACGTGTCGTGTGTCTCGCCGTATGTATGTAAACGAACATTATCATACTATCCGCAGACATAATCGTACTATATCCTATGATATTATCCACTCATTCACAATATCCCAGAGCATGGGCCCCATGCGGGGTAAGGCAACGTGGTGATCTCCCACCATGGCCAAAATCTTGTCCGATCACGCATCTCTGCTTAATCGGAAAACCACAAAATAGGAATTGCTAGTCGAAGGGGCTCACATCCAAACCAAGCCAAACCAGGCAGGCGCCCAGCTGTGTAATTCACTTTATCACGGCGTGGTGGTTGAATAACCGATCGAGAGATTAATTAGATAAACGCTAGCGGATCGTATCTTAGTTTCATAAAACGATCAGCTATCTTGACAAGCAGGCATATCAAGGTGGTAAAAACCTTAGGTGGCTGCCTTTTTCCCGTAAATGTCATAATTAGCACGCAATAAGGTTTCCGATGCGCTGTGATGCTAATGAGCACTTTTTGCACGGTAAGTCAACGCAATTCTAATAGAAATAGTTATCCAACTCTGACATACTAACACACATAGCTAGCGCAAAGTATCTGTGGTTCAAGGATATGATTCTTGGACTATTATATTGTAAGAATATAATGGTACCACGAGTGACGAAAGTTCAAATCGTACCCTAGAACGTGAGCTAGTATTTTCTCATTGCTGCACCTATTACTGTAACGCCAAACTGAACATTAAAATGCTTTTATTAAACACTCAGCAGTTCTGACTGGAAGCTATTGAGGTGAAGCACGTGGCTGCCGTGGTTCTAGAGACAGCATACAGTCCTCTACCTTCCGTATTCGGTGCCGCCGTCTCAACGCTGCACATCGTGATACCTTATCAGCCATTTATACATAGTTTATTGTACATTTGTACAGGTTATTGGCAGCCGTAATACAAAACACCAATGTCCTCCACTGGACAGAGATACAGACATTGGATAGATCACACTCAATAGGAAATGTATGGAAAATTATTACAGTATTCGAGGGCAAATAACATGTCCAACACAGGGTTTTAAATGCAGTCACAGCGACGAAACCATCATAGATAGGTACAGAATGCTATGCAGGTAAATCAGGAACCAAACAAACATCCCATCAGTTGGGACGGAAAAATGACATCAACACTCGAGGGACACTTGACTCCAAGAAGATAACACATTGGCCACTCTTAACACTATGCTTTCGTGTTCATGCTCCGCTCAAAGGATGACCTCGCTGTACATAAACGATGCATTCATTTCCATCAGCAAAAGCACATTTAGCGGGTACACATACCTGTACACTTCGTCTTCGCTCTTCCTTTTCTCCATCATTGCGTGCATGTGAACTACAACTCTCATACCCTGGTGAGACAACGTATATTCCTGCGTTGAGGGCGGCTGTGCCGCTGTTGACACCTCTCCCTCGCTCGTTTGGTTGTTCTAGGCATGCCTAGGTGAAGGCATGAGCCCCTTCTTGCTTCACCAGCCCAAAACAGCAGCAGAAGAGCTCGGTCTCAGCACGGAGCTCTTTACTGATGGCCTATTCAGTGGGCGAATCTGTGGAAAATAGATGCGTGAAAGAGGGATTAAAGGCGACATGCTAGGTACTCCTGTGCAGTGACACCATACAACAACGGTACAAATAAACTCGTTTTAATCCATTATTTTCCATTTAGGTCGGGCAAATTTTATGGTTGAAACTAATCTTGAGCACTGCCTACATTTGCCGTAGGCTCAAACTGTCACAAGCATTCATCGCAGAAGTACAACATTCCCAGCTATATGTACGGATCATGCTCCACTAGATGCCCCGGCACCACCACACACTAGCTCCTCCCCAAGCGTACATCGACACCAAACCGAACTGAACTCCGGCATGCCTTCTGGACAGGAGGCTACTCATCTCAACCATGCCCTAGCCGGGCTACAGCCGGATACGCATACCACTGCAACTGAGGGCAACGTCAGAAGGAAGCCGCAGATCCAGACCACGAAAAACGTGCTATTCACGGTGAAGGAGAACGCCCAGGCAGACGTCCACGAGGAAGCAAGCAAAAGTGCTGCAGCATGGACCCCGCCACTGGCCTGAGCCGTGCGTCGGTGTTCTGTGGTCCTGCCTTTGTACGGCAGCTTCGTCATGATCTTGATCTTGATAGTGCATCGAACTAACGCCGGCAGCTTCTCGACGTAACCATGGTTTCTTGATGCATGTTGACTTGCTTATGATTCAGCACCTTGTACATACCTGCACAGTGTGTCCATATGTGAATGGAGTCAAAACCCACCTTTGTCCCAAATTAGCCAAGGAACCATTCGGCATTTGAGTACTTGGACCATTCTTCTGACCACCGGCCATTCTGGGCGAAGGCGCGTAGGCGTCTCGTCTGTGTTCGCTCCGGTTCCGGTAAAACTAGACTAGTTTCCCTCTCAGGCCCATCCCAACGTCAGCACCGTCTCCGTTTCTATCCATGTCAAGTCTGTTGCCCGTCTGACGCCCGCGCGCAACCTGCTTTAACTGTTAACTGCGCAGAAACTGCGCAGAAACTGCGCAGAAACGATTTCACGCGTGGAAACGTGACAAAACACTCGTCATTTACCCCGCCTCCCTTAAGCATGAAACAGTTCAAATATCGTGCAGCCAGCCTCGCGAGGGCCTTTGCTAGTCTTTGGCGTTTGACGGTACGATCGGCGGCTGCAAAGATCAAGCTTTTCGAGTTTCCCTCACTTTTCAACAAGCCTTTTCAAAGCCTTTCCTTGTCGGCTCATCCGTAGCCTTACAACCACACAGATTTTCCACTTGCTGACGTTAAGACTAGCTCAGGCCGTTATGAGACTCGTAACTAGAGACATAGAGACTAGGATAACTAACCTCATAGTTCTAACTGACACAAAGCAGCTAGCTGAGCCCTCCCGACTCGAACTGATCCCAGTACCAGCGTTCCATCTATCCAGAGTATGGCATGCAGTCAACTTGACCTCAACCAACAACAACTGGTGACCCAGTATACCAGTACTGCGATCACGTCAGGCAGCATGGGTCTACTGAACTGCAATACATCGGTCATTCCAGCCACCGAATGAAAAAAAAAACATTCCGGCCACCTCTCAGCGGGTCATTCCAGCCTCCCCTAAAAATAGTTGCAGTCACCGTTCAGCAAGTCATTCCAGTCAGTCAGCTTTTGAGGATTCATTCCGTCATTCCAGTCACCTCACAGTCATTCCCGCATGTCGCAAGTCATTCGCATGTCCTCCCCGGCATGCCCAGCGTCTGCAGCGCGGTCACAGCCCACATCTTGAAATCTAGCATGGCGGCGTTGGCAGGGGACCATGGCCTACTAAATTTCGTGAAAGTTTCACGTTAACACTGGCGATGCATGCCGGGAATATCTTTCAACTGAAATTTGACCGGACTAGTTTGGGGACATGCCTAACCGCTGGACCTTTGTAAACGGTTCACAGCTTAAGTACAGGTTATATCAAGATCTGAGAAATCTTTGGACATCAAGATGGTTTTATCTACTTTTCGGCAATGCGCACTCTTCTTTTACCTGGCTTTGGGTTCCCCTGGCTGCGTCCCCGGCTGCACGAGTCCGTCCTCAGTCATCCCTCCCGGCCCCGCCTCAGGGCGCATGCGATACTCCTCCATCTAAGACTCTGCGCATGCGCAGTTACCTGCCTGGCAGCCAACGCGACCAGTAGACGTTTCGCTTGCGACTCTGTTTCGCTGGCTGCCCACCAGGTGGCAGGTAATTGCTGTCCAGCGCGGCCGACTCGAGCAGCGCCGACGCTGATTGATCATCGACCAGTGACGTCACCGTTGTCGTTCCACTGTCCTGTGACATCGCCTGTTGGGCGCGTCCCTCGGCGGCTGTGACTGACCTCTCCGGGTTCTGGTAGCTGTATCCAGCCGTCGAGGCCGCGGCAATAGCCTCGGGCGGCGGCTCGGTGCGAACCAGCTCCAGGGTGAGGAGGCCGTCCGGCGTGACAGTCATGCCGTCCACGAGGAAGGCGCCACCACGCAGCGCATCCAGCTCGGGGCTGTCGAGGTCGCCGGAGGGGCGCAGCGCCGCGCCGCCGGCCGTCGCCGCCTCGATGCTCGACTCGACCGACTCGCGGATCGAGGCGTCGTCGAAGCTGGCGCCGAGCAGACTCGCCAGTCCGGCGTCGGGCCCGCTCTGAGACTCGGAAACGCCAAACGCGCTGTCCAGCGCTCCTTGCACGCCGTCAGACGAGGTCGACGTCGGGGCGGCGTCGGTGGTCGTCAGGAAGTTGTTGGAAGTGGAGCTGGGGCCGGCACTGGAGCTGACACTGGACAGAGTGCTGGTGTGGAGGCTTGACTCGGAATTGGAACCTACGCTGAGCAAGCTAGAAGCGAAGCCTAAGTCTGAGTTCTCAGCCTGTCTGAAGGCGTTGTCCGAACTCAAACTGGGGATAGTGCTGGAACTAACGCCAGAGCTTGTACTGTACGCGGTACTGGACCCTGCGCTGCTGCCAGCGCTAGTGCCGAAGCCAGAACTCGTGGTGGATGCTATGCTGGTCCCCGCGCTGGATCCAGTGCTGGTGCTGAAGCTGGACTCAGTGCTGGACCTGGTACTCGACCCCACGGTCGAAGTCGAAGTTGAGCCCTGACTCGAGCCGACGCCCGTCGTTGAGTAGGAGACGGTCGTCCGGAAGCCGCCACCCTCCGTCGTCGACTCGGGCCGCGCGGAGGTCGTGGCCCCCGCGACGGACTGGACGGACACTGAGGTACTGCCGGAGGACGGCCGGGATCCGGGAGAAACGCCCGGAGAAGTTTGGGCGAATTCAGCGCCATCTGTGCTCGCTGTGCTCGTTGGAAGCGAATCTTGGCGGGTTGACTGGAAAGTTTTTGGGGACGAAGCACCTCCCGCCTTTTGTCCTTGATTCCGGGCTCCGAAGGCCAGCGCGTTCGTTCCGGAGCCCTGCCCCGGGGCTCCACCCGGGCCTCCGTAGGTCCTAAGGCTCTGCGCAGAGCTAAGCTCGCCTGCCGGCGCGCCGTACCCCTGGTCCGGGCTGTACGTCTGAGCGAACGCCGGCTGCGACGCGACGGGCTGCACCGGCCCTAGCCGGTCGCCGGTTTGCCCCGGGGCGCCGTAAGTTGACCCCGGCTGGCCACCGCCGAGCTGAGCACCTGCCGGTGATGAAGTGTAGCCCAAACCCGCCGAGCCGGCCTGTCCGGTACCGCTACCACTCAGGGATGCAAAGTTCTGACTGGTTGTTACAGGAGCCCCGTAGTCCTGATTGACTGTTGGCTGTGTGCCAAAATCCTGATTGGAGGTTGCCGGAGCCCCGTAGTTCTGAATGACTGCAGATGGTGCACCAAAGCTCTGACTGGATGTACCGAAGTTCTGACTGGTTGTAGCAGGAGCCCCGTAGTCTTGATTGGCTGTTGGTTGTGTACCAAAGTTCTGACTGGATGCTGCCGGAGCCCCATAGTTCTGATTGACTGCAGGTAGTGTACCAAAGTTCTGGCTGGATACTGCCGGTGCCCCGTAGTTCAGATTGGCTGTAGCTGGTGTACCAAAGCTCTGACTGGTTGTAGCAGGAGCCCCGTAGTTCTGATTGACTGCAGATAGTGTACCAAAGTTCTGACTGGATACTGCCGGAGCTCCGTAGTTCTGATTGGCTGTAGCTGGTGTACCGAAGCTCTGACTGGTTGTTACGGGAGCCCCGTAGTCCTGATTGACTGCTGGTTGTGTACCAAAGTTCTGACTGGAGGCTGCCGGAGCCCTGTAGTTCTGAATGCCTGCAGATGGTGCACCAAGGTTCTGACTAGATGTACCGAAGTTCTGAATGGTCGTTACAGGAGCCCCGTAGTTCTGATTGGCTGTAACTGGTGTACCAAAGTCCTGACTGGATGCTACAGGAGCTCCGTAGTCCTGATTGGCTGTTGGCTGTGTACCGAAGTTCTGACTGGATAGTACCGGAGCCCCGTAGTTCTGATTGGCTGTAGCTGGTGTACCGAAGCTCTGACTGGTTGTTACAGGGGCTCCGTAGTCCTGATTGGCTGTGGGTTGTGTACCGAAATTCTGAGTGGATACCGCCGGAACCCCGTAGTTCTGGTTGGCTGTAGCTGGTGTACCGAAGTTCTGACTGGATGTTGCCGGAGCCCCGTAGCTTTGGCTGGCTGCAAGCGGCACACCGTAGTTCTGGTTGGGTGGAGGTGATACGGAAATCCCCTGACCCTGGCTGAAACTTGTTGAATAGATAGGTTTGAAGGAGTTCGTTGTGAGTGCGGGTGCAATGAATGACGCGGGCTGGGTCATGGTGCGCATTGCCCTAAGGGTACTAGGGAACCGGGACGTTGGCGTGCCGTAGGAAATGGCCGGCTGCGCTGGCCCGCCAGATCCGAATGATTGTCCGGACCCGGCAAAGGATCCGCGGATTGATGACCCAGGGAGCGTCGCAAAGGACGAGTGCGAGACTGTGTTCGACTGTGAGTTTGAATTCGTACCATACGAGCTATAGCTGGAGATACCCGGACCTCCGCCGCCTCCGCCCGATGAGTGGCCGGATCCTCCGCCTCCGCCGGAGTATCCGGATCCTCCACCTCCACCGGAGTATCCGGATCCTCCACCGCCGCCCGACGAGTGGCCAGATCCTCCACCTCCGCCGGAGTACCCGGATCCTCCACTGCCGCCTGAGTATCCGGATCCTCCACCTCCACCGAAGTATCCGGATCCTCCACTGCCGCCTGACGAGTGCCCGGATCCTCCACCTCCACCAGAATATCCGGATCCTCCACCGCCGCCCGACGAGGGGCCGGATCCTCCACCTCCGCCGGAGTACCCGGATCCTCCACTGCCGCCTGAGTATCCGGATCCTCCACCTCCACCGGAGTATCCGGATCCTCCACCTCCACCGGAGTATCCGGATCCTCCACTGCCGCCCGAAAAGTGTCCAGATCCTCCGCCGCCACTGGAGTACCCGGATCCTCCACCTCCACTGGAGTGTCCGGATCCTCCTCCACCCCCGTGTCCTTGAAATAAGAAGACGAGATTTAAGCATGCATGTGAAGTCTGCTGCCTCCTGATTGACTTTCTTAAAAGAATGCAACGCATTAGCCCACAAATAAATGAATAAATTAAGGAATGAATGAAATGATGAATGAACTAATGAATGATATTGTACGATAAAGTTAGGAGTTGAATGCAGCCAAGTTCTTCACAATCCACGTGCTGCGACAGATGCGCGTGATCGGACACCTTAGACGAGATGTGACCAACATGGCTGCCATAGGCCATCAGCCCTAGCCTAGGCGTTGAAGGATATTTAAATTAACATAGATGACATCAAATGGTGCGAACGCATCAACGTGTCATCTCAGTAAAGTGCATTGAACAATCGAAAGGTCATTCCGGACAAACCTTCGGAGCCTCGGATCCCCAGTTCTGGGGAAATGACCTTCCCGCCAGGCGAAACATCTTTACACATTTGGACATAGAAGTTGAACTTATTTTGACAAGCATGCAGTTGTATCAGCTCAAGGAAATCTCTAAATTCTGGAGTGATTCGACCTTTTTCGCCACATGATAAAAAGAAGCAATGATAGCCTTACAACGAAACATGGCCCAACCCCGACCAAGAGCGCAGTCACTGGTGCTCGCAAGGGCCACTTTGGCCTGATGCAAATTTTTCTTCTTGATTTGTCAATCGTGCCTGTCAAGAGTTTTCATCATTTATCATCCTCATTCGGATGCTGATCATGAGTTATCATTTGTCATGTCATCACCTCCGCTGGATGGCGCGCCATATCCAGAGTTGGGTGTTGATGGCGCGCCGTATCCAGAGTTGGGTCTTGAAGGCGCCCCATATCCGGAACTGGGCCTCGATGGCGCTCCATATGAAGAACTCGGCTGTACAGAAATAAAGCCACCATCTGTGGAAGAAACACGAAATATGACAGCCGCACGACTTGCTTACTTCGAAGGAAAAAACACAACCCACGGATGATGTACGGTATCCTCACACCTACTTTCCCCAAATCATAACGGAAGGCACCCATGTCATCAATACAATGCTCCCCCTCCCCAAACACGCGTTTTGCCAGACCAGAGTTTCTCGACGTTTCAGAAACAGAGTTTCAGAGTTCCTGCTATGCAACCCGCGTCCCACAGCCGTGATGAAGCTCCGCCGTACACCCATGAACGGGCCCGCGAGCTGACGCCGACCGCATGTCTCGCTTGATTTAGCGGCCTGTTTTCAATTCCCTCCGCCCCTCTGCGCCGGATAGGCCGCCCGTTTGTTTGTCTCCCATGCCCGTGTGCCGCCCGGGCGCTTCCATAACTCAGCCGAACAGCAGGCGCGCGCGCTGCACAAAAGGCGGATGCGAGGAGATGGGCATAGGCAACTCCTGTACCGCCAGCCAGAGCCCTGCATCACGTGACAGATGCTCGTCCCAACAAAACCCTGCGTCTTGTGACAGATGCCCATCTCACCAAAACCCTGCGTCGCGTGACAGATGCCAGTCCCACCAAACCCCTGCGTCTCGTGACAGATGCCAGTCCCACCAAACGCCTGCGTCTCGTGACAGATGCCAGTCACACCAAACCCCTGCGTCTCGTGACAGATGCCAGTCCCACCAAACCCCTGCGTCTCGTGACAGATGCCAGTCCCACCAAACCCCTGCGTCTCGTGACAGAGGCGAGTGCAGAGCGAGGTTCATGTGACGGCTAAACGGCCCAAGGCGCCTCCTCCGTGGGGTTCAAAAACGTCAGCATGAAGAAGTATGCCCGCCTACTGCCGAGCCAATCAAGTATGAAAGCTAAACACATCCCCATGCCACCAGCCGAGCTGGTTTGCTCACCGCGTGCATAGTGAATGCTATTAACACGTGTGACTGTAAGCGATCCGACGAGAACCGATGTTCTTTCGCCTTCCGACTTACGACCGGTGCTTTAGCGATAAAGCGCTGCCACAGACGTAACGCAAAGCCGCGTGAACGGAGCGCCGAGCCTAGTTTCGTCCGGCGCGCATTTCCAAACTCTCTCACAATCTTATGCACGCGTACGCGGGTCGTCTGCATTGTCTGGCGCGCGGCCGGAGCGTAATGTCTGGACGCGCCGGCCCGGGGTCGGCGACCCCCGTAGTAATGAGGCGGCCCCCGCCCCCCGCCGCGGGCGCACGCGCAGCCGCCGCCGCCCGCACGCAGAAAGCGAAAGGGCGTTCGTCTCCGCAGTCGGCGGCGCTCCGGCGCGGGGGCAAAGGTCAATGTCGGCAACTGAAAGGCGACCGCCGCCGACCCGTGGTTAACGGGCTGGGGGGGGGGGGGGGGGGGGGGGGGGGGGGTAGGCGCACGCGCCGGTGTTTTCGTCGTGCGGCGAGGAACTGCCGCCGGCCATCGAGGCCGAGGTGGCGTGATGACCAGTGTCGGCCGCCCCTGGAGGCTGGGGTGGGAAGTGGAGCAGACCTGGGGCACTGGGGAGGTGCTACGCAATGGGACGATCAATGTGTCATGCATATTCTTCCGCTCATGGGCACGGCTTTGTCTTTCAGTGGGATCCAATTGAATGTCGCGGGCACTCTAATCATAGGCGCCCGGACGAGGGGATGGGGAGGGGAAGTTACGCAAGAAAGGCGCACCGCGCCAAACCGTCAAACGGGGTTTATATTGTCAAGGTGAAAGGTGATCTTCATGACGTAGCTGAAGCACCCGCCGATTGATTGAAGAATGGTTTGCAGGTCAAACCATGATGCACTTACTGCCGCCACCGTATCCTCCACCACCTCCTCCTCCGTGACCACCTCCGTGACCTCCCCCTCCTCCGTGACCTCCGTGACCTCCTCCATAGCCACCGCCGCCGCCGCCGCCCTTGTTAAACTTGCTCTTCAGCTGCTGGGCGAGGCTGATTAGCTTGTTGCCCTTGCTGGTCAGAATATTGCCTGCGATAAATCATAATTTGTAAGAACACTGGGTTCAGTGATGGCGAGGTGGTTGTGTGTCGGATGAGGAACTATCGGACAGTCGTCACCAGGCACTTTGACAGCAGCTGTCAATTGTACGGAGCTTGAATCCTAGACGATAGGAGTCCGCGCATTTCCGGCCCTGCTTCCCTTCTCCGACTGTTCTCAAAAGACGACCGTGACAGAAATGTGTTTAAGAAAAATGTTCCTTAGGGCACATGACTCATCCATGGGCGCGATGCATGTCAACTAAAGCGGCATTTCAAAGGCCAATGAACAACGTTAACATGCAGTACCGTGAACTTTTGCAATGCTGATGACACCTTAATTGGCATGTTGCAAACAAGCAATGTCCGGCCACGCTGTAGCTCATCTTTGAAGCCATGCCAACAACTTTTTGCCCCCAAAATTTACTAGCTGTTAATGGGCAAATAATATAACCTTTGAAGACGATATCAGGACATAATAATGGTTTACGACCGTGGCAGTTTTGATGCGGTAATTAAGTTTTCCGGGATTATAGACGTCAATGATGAGCAATGAGTGGTCAATCAGTGCTCGATCAGTGCCAGAGGCTGCGGAAAGATCGATTTAAATGCAACGTAGACCTTAGTCGGTAGAGAATGCTTCCAGCAATAAGTATAAAATCTCAGTTGAAGGCGTTGCAAATGAAAACCGTTTTCACGCTATTCTTACCGTACAATTCGAACAAAATCCTTTGAATTACGCAAAAAGTATCATAAGCAAAAGAGCAACCCTACTGTTTGTCGTCAGGCATATTAAAAGATGTCGTACATTTTGGATGTGTAATCGTTTTTAGGTCGTCATCATGTGTCTATCAATCATTTTACGTTTGCTAATTTGGTGCGGTGGCTATGGGACCGAATCAGAAACACCAAAAACATGAAATGTCGAAAAATATTTTTAAGGTGCGATAGAGACCAGATACAAAACATAGTCCGAATTCTGGTGACCCAGAAAAATAAATTTGGTCGGTAAAGGAGTAAAGTTGTGACACGCATATGACTGAAAGTTGAACACAATTCCTTCCTCCTCAAGACTCAGCAAAACCTGATGACGGCCGAATAATAAGCTGGCCGAAGCGTTGGATGCATAGTAATACACTGATGAGGACGATAATACGAACAATTATTTCATCCGTAGCAATGCAAAGTGTATGATGAAATACAAACGATAGAACACAAATATTTAAAAGTCAAATAATCAACTTAATGGAGCAGGGTTTACAGGTTACAGATTCGACCACATTTTCTGGAACTCCTGGGCTCTTGTTTATCCTGTTTTTTTTGGGGGGACGGGGCACTTCAGATTTGATACCAGATTAGGTTGCCGTTATATCAATCCTGCCATAAGAAGAGCTACAGTAAAACACACAAAACAAAAACATCCTTTTCACAGAGATCCAGGACAGCAATGAAATAATTTAGGATAAATACTCAAGTTTCACCATTAAAAGAGGAATGATACCAATTGTGGCGCGCCTTAGTCATCTCCCACGCGGACGACAGATAGCATGTCAGTCCACCTTTCAACAGAACCCACCTCCAGCCTTCAGCAACTGTCCCTTGATTCGGAGGAACGGCGCCTTGACCGAGGCGAGCACCCCGCCCAGCTTCTGCTTGATGCCGCTGAAGAGCCGCTTTTTCTTGGCGAAGATGGCCCCGATGTCGAAGCCCTTCTTGCCGCCACCGCCACCGCCGCCATAGCTGTGATGCCCGCCACCGCCACCTCCGCCGTGGCTGTGGTGTCCGCCGTGGCCACCGCCGCCACCACCACCGCCCTGAGAACACCCCCCGAGCGTCGTCAGAACGTGACCTGGATCCAGAGCGCTGTTAGGAAGTGATCTGGATTCAGAGCGCCGTCAGGAAGTAATCTGGATTCAGAACGATGTCAGGACGAGATTTGGACTCAAAACGCTGTCAGGACGTGATTTGAAATGAAAACGCTGTCAGGACGCGCTCTGAATTCAGAGCAATCAGGACGTGATCTGGATTCAGAGCGCTGTTGGCACGTGATCTGGACTCAGAGCCCTGTATAATGCTGATCTGGATCTGATAAAGAGATGGCTGTTGGTAGCCTCGCTGGTTTTCTAGTTTGCATGTCTGTATTTTTCTCCCCCGTCTTCGACATCAGCGATAGATCTGACAAAGACGGCCTATGGCCTATGTGGTCTATATGGCCTATATGGTCGTCCGTCGTACCGTATGGCATGTTATGGCCAGGTCCGTTTTGGTCACTCGGCTCGTTCGAAGCTCTAGAAACCCCCTGTATTTCTCTAGAGTGACGAGCCAAGCCACAACATGTGTTCGTGCACGCACGGACAAAACTCCAAAAACCCCCCGCATTTCTCCAGGGTGACGAGCCAAGCCGCAACATGTGTTCGTGCACGCACGGGCAAAACTCTAGAAAACCCCCGCATTTCTCTAGAGTGACGAGCCGAGCCACCCTGTGCTCGTGCACGGGCGGACAAAGGACTCCTAGCGCCTCCCGGTCCGGACTCTCCGGCGAGAGCCTACGCGCGGGGGGGGGGGGCACAACGACTTCCTGCACGCCAGAAGAATACCGCGGTCGTGAACACCCATGGTGCAATCGATGTCGTGTCGGACACCAGGGAAAGCAGTCTTAACAACGAACCAACAGAATACGGCGTTGCGTGCACGTGGCGACGACTCACGACAGTGTTCTTGTGTCGTAAGGCGTAAAAAGATGCCGCATGTTCCTGTGGTGATCAGACTTTTATGTCATCTTGCGATCAGCAAGTGGCGCTTCATGTTCAATGGGGCATTTGGTCACGTCTGGCGAATTAGGAGCCTGCAGTAAATACCGTAATTTATTGCCTAATGTTTCCCACTCTCGCGCTTGCTGCGGGGATTGCAAATGCTTGGAGCGGAGAAAGATGAGTCTTCACAGGTGGTGCACCAGAGCGTCTCTCTCTTTCTCACCCTTTGTCGATTCCCTCCATCGCCACCAACCACTTTCGTCCCTTCGCTTTCTCTTGTTTTTTTCTCTATCTCGCTCTCTACATGCCCACATTGAACAACTTAAATTTGATATATTTGTCTTCTTATATAACCTTCCTTCATTTTGAATCCAGTGCAGTCAACTAGCTATTTTCTGTACCTCCTAAAAATACCCTTGATACTTTGCCCGACCATAATCACCAACACACCAACTCGATGTCCGTGTGACACCAATCGGCACCATGGCGGTCATACAATGTCACCGCATATCCTCCACAACAGCCTGGGAGCAGCAGCTCTTCGAGAGCCTTCGATGCTAGAACAAGTCACCAGCAGCTGGGCAGCTGCTGTGAAGTTGCGCCCTCTCCACGCATGCTCCTACCGCAAACCGGCGCCTTCCGTGCGGCACGCATCCGGCTCTTTCACTGACGCTCACGCATCACTTTTGGGTTGTGCGCGTGTGTGTGTGTGTGTGTGTGTGTGTGTGTGTGTGTGTAAGTCGGCGCGTAACTCCGCTTAAGATCAAGGAAAACGCTTGTCGTGTAGCCACACCAGAGACGGCTCTAGTTTCAGACGGCACGGCGACAATAAGAGCCACATTAAATCCATGTTTTCGACATGCAGATGAGCCCACGATTCTCGGAAGATGGCCACATTGTTTGTTTATTATATCCTAGTTATCGGTCTGAACTGCGTGCCTCTTCTTTCATGTATCCTATCCAGAGGTAAACAAGGCTGTACAAATAATTAAATGAGACGTATATAGGTAGGCAGGAATTCAACAATTATGTCTAGTTCGCTTGAAACCTTTTTGTCATGCTGCTGAACATTTTGTGCTAATATTGACGCCTGGATCAAGTGGAGCATGAGTCCTACGTCCAAAACAAAACGCTACCCACGTGAGCTTGCAGAATCCTTTGGAAAACTCATTATGTGACAGGATACAGAATCTGGGTATATTTCATAATGGCGATAGAGCTTTAAAAACGCCGGTTTGGCCGAGCCCAAGGCGTAAAACGGAACAAGGGAGCTAGATGTGGCATACAGTGCTGGATTAAAAGCCACTCCCACACCATTTAACGAGACTGACGTTTCGTTTCTGTCGGCACTGGCATGCCTCCACATTTGAGTTGCGTCGTCTGGCATTCCGGCCAGGCCTTCGGTGCATGTACCAGCTGTCTACCAGCAACAATCATGCCAGATTCTGTAGTTTGCACTTGAAACTAGCTCACTGAGCGAGACTGAACTTGGCGAAGTTCTGGATACACCATCAGCACGGGACCCAAGTTAGTCACCCACAGTCAGTTAGGTTTAGTAACCATCGGTCAGTTTAATTCGGACCACGGTCAGTTAGGTCCGTCACTACTGTCTACCGCGTCGAGAAGGTTATTTGAAGGATGCTTTGAACCTATTATTGCAAGATTCTACTTGAGACTTTGCCATGACGACGGTGCCTTGATGCCTTGTCATGACAAAGTCAAAATTTTCTTTTGGATTATTTCAGCTAGATTCTTGATACCTATGGATTGGATCGTGCCTGGCTCCTATAAGTGCACGGCGAACGAACTTCCATATAACAGAAGGCTCTCCTGCAATCATTGACTATGACTCCATAATGGCCGTGTGAGCCACATACACCGGAGTGACCGCATGCGCAACAGCGCGTGCGCGACAGGCCCGTCACCTGTGAACGGTGACGGTGGCGTGGGGCGACCCTTGACCTCACGTGACCTCGGCCGACACTGTCCGGGAGGGCGCGCACGACCCTGACCCCGACGACCGGGCCCGGGACCGGCCACCACGACCGATGTAGCCGGGTCGGTGGTGATCTGCTCATTTATCGGACACGGGTCACAGCGCCCCGCCATCGGCCGCAAGCACCGGCACAATTAAACAATTATTTACAAGCGTTGTTGTCAGCTGAACGGTTGACCTCTCTCCGGTCATCAGCTGCGTGAGCCGATGACTTGCGGTCGCCACACGTGGAGAACGCCATGTATCTGAAGCTTGTCCCTTCCGGGACCACAAGAATAAAGCAAAGGTCATCTTTATCTGTTCTAATCTAAGTGTTTTTACCTGCAGTCCAGCGGAATGTTGTTTAACAATGCAGTCCAAGGACGTGCTGCTTTCTTACGTTTCTGTTTGTCGGCGTCGGAAATTGGCCTCATGGTCACGCCCTCCGGCCGGGTGACATACTACGGCGCGTCCTCGTCAGCCAAGGGTGGCTCGTCAAGAAGGGGTCACGCAGCGACGTGTCCGAGACACGGAGCACTCCGCTGGACACCGCGACACTCCTGGACGCTCCGCTGGCCGCGCCCACGCCGCGCCGTCCTGCGAGTGCCCGGCGGCATTGTCAAGCATGACTGATGACGTAATCGTCCCGAGGGGAGCGGACGCCATTGGCCCACCAGCGCCTCCGCCCCAATGCGGTCTATGAAACGGCGAGCGTATGTCGGCGCGACACCTCCACCTACAGTGTTGCGGTGGTGATCTGTATTCAGGGCTCCGGCTAATTAACGGCAGCGCCGGTTGGCCTCCTCGCGAGGGTGGCGGACCAGCACCGGTCGGCAGAGGAGGGCGGCAGGACCGACCTCGAGACGGTGGCGACGGGGACGGCGCGGGTCGCCGGCGGACGGCTTCACCAGCCCGTGACGGCAAGGCCGCTGCTCTGATGATGACGTCAGTGAACGGCAGGCGCGGCTGGCCGTCACGTCCGCGGAAGGATCGCGGCTCAAGAGGCGCGCTCCTTAAGGAACGTTCCTCGGGGAGAGCGTTCCTCAGGGAGAGCATGAGGCACGCTGGCTACTCTGTCCTGGCTTTCGGTGACTTTCGGTGGTTTTGGACGGTATGGTGTGGGATATCATCAGCTGGCAAACGTTGACTGGCGTCTGTCATGGATGACTAATCGTCTTGTTGATGGCTGATGACCGATGACTGATGTTACGTGAGAAAGAAGTGTCGATATGGTCGAACTGTTCATGATGGAAGTCAGTAATACAATATCAGCGCTGGAAAATTACCTCCGCAAGTCACTTATTTTGAGCTAATCACTAAAGCTACCATGTCGAATACTATCTCGAGCACCAACAAGACAGAAAAAAACTGCTTCCCAATGGAGGCTCCAGATAAAATCCTGCTCCATGTGCTTTACCTTTTAGTCGTTGGATGCTGAATTTCCTCGTCTCAAGGGTCCATCCGTTCATCGTTCAGCGCGGAAAAGAGGAGAGCCCGGATTGCGCGCGTGACCTCTTCACCCAACCGCACATCACTACCCATGGACAGTACGAAAGGAAGAAGGAGCGCGACGGATTGCAGGCCATTGCAGGTGATGCAGCACTCTAGGAATCAGATGATTGCAGGTGACGCTGTACTCCAGGAATCAGGTGATTGCAGGTGGTGCAGCGCTCCAGGAATCGGATGATTGCAGGTGACGCGGTACTCCAGGAATCAGGTGATTGCAGGTGATGCGGTACTCTAGGAATCAAGTGATTGAAGGCGATGCAGCACTCTGGTAGCCAGGCGTATGGAGGTGATTTGAGATCATGCTTACAAGAGGATCATACCCATATATAGGTCTCATGGTGAATATTAAGATGCGTCTCATATGTAGGTCTCGTGGTGAATATCAAAATGGGCCAGAAACAGGGCAAACGCTTCACCTTGACAGCTTTCTCAGCTTCAGTTGCGACACGGAGACAAATCCGTCACTAAAAAAGCCGTGAAGGTGGAACATTTGTCCTGTTCTGAGTCCTTTTAGTACATACCGCGAGACTCATGATTATTGCTTCGTTTACAATCTTGATCGCTAAATTGATTCGCTTACAATCGATTTCACTGAATTGCAATCAATTCAGTGGAATCGATTCAGCTTCGGCCCGCAGCCACGTGACTAATCCCGACTCCAAGCAGACAACACTGCTTGGAATTGTGCCGTTCCTTGAGGGTATCGGCTCGGATTCCGATTCAAGAGAAGTAGGGCTCGATTCCGGAATCGATTTGGATAGCAATGATTCCAGCGGCTACAGTTTGGGCAATAACCCGCTCCATGGATCTTATAAAAGCTCAGATGGAACGTTTACGTACGTAACCACACGGCTGTGCACACTGATATCCCGCTTGGTCCACATAAATTTGTCTGTCATGATAGTAATATTTGTTTTACTTACAGTGATGCTCTAGTTAACTCAGCGATGACTTAATCGTCATAAATTTGGCTGGGAATCACGAGAAGTATTATAGGGAACCAATCCCATCACAAACCAGTCGAAGTTTGCTTGATTCCGTGATCGATTAGACTCCATAAACGAGCTAATCGCATTTCTATTTTGCGTGAGGGCCGCCTGTTTAACACGAATTTCTGCCTTTCAAAGGGTCGCCGCTTCAGGGTGACAAACATATATTTGAAAATAAAACAAAACGAGCAGGAGGAGGAGTACCTTAACGTGCTGTCTATCCAACGTCTGGCCCAGCCACCACCTGCGGCCCAAGTACCACGTCGGGAGCAGCGAAATCAATGAATAATTAAATGGGTCCGAATCGTCATTACTCCCACGCAGTTCATGCATATGCTGGCAGGCGTCGCAGTGGGACACGCCGGGCGTCGAAGGGGCTGGTAGGGTCACGTCACTGTCACGCCTGCTCGGACATGGGTACGCCTGGTGCTTTCACTCAGTCGTTGAGGGTCGGACGTATGGAGATGGGTGAGGACGGGTGCCGAGTGTCGATACGTCGCATCGACACGGCGCGTCGGGCGGCGTCGAGGCATTCGCTGTTCCGTCGAGTAGACACACGCCTCGGAATCGGTCACTCCTCGGAATCAGTCACTCCTTGGAATCGGCCATCATTGGAATCTATCACTACTTGAAATCAATCACTCCTTGGAATCAGCCAATTCTTGAAATTGGCCATCCCTGAAATCGACCAATATTTGGAATCAATCACTCCTTGGAATCAGTCACCTCTTGGAATCAGCAACCCATTGGAATAACTCACTGCTTGGAATATATCACTCCTTGAAATTGGTTACTCCTTGAAATCGGTCAATACTTGGCATTGGCCACTCATTAGAATCGGACACTCCTTGGAATCACCCACTCATCGAAATCGGCCACTACTTAGAATCAAACGCTTTCCTGAAGATCTCTGCGCGAAACGGACTCCTGTGTCGCTTGGTTTACACATAAAGCCTCTGGTACATTTTTTTCTGGCTTTGAACAAACGTGTCTCTCGAACGTCTTCGCCTTCGCCTTCATGCATATTCAAATGTCATTGTTCAGCATTTCACGTCTTACACCGGGAGAAGAATCGACCCGTACGCAGAGGGCTATGCATTCAGGTGCCCCCGCGCCGGGTCTGTGTTGAAAACAAGTCAAAGGCCGATAAATCATGGGAAGAATGCCGGCGGCCCCATCAAGCTGGCCAGTTGCGGAGAGTGGACGGGGCGGGAGCTACTCACCGAGCCGTAACCTTTGGCGGTCGCCAGGGCAGCAATGGCCGCCAAGACAAGCAGAACCCCGACCTGGAACAGAGACATGGCAGCCGTCAGCACAACCGGGTCCGCGCGCATTCAACGGAGACACATCGAGACCTGGTGCAGTCCGTGTTTCACGAAGACTGCAGTCGTCAGTGTCAGTGTCAGTGTCAGTCTATCAGTGGCAGTGGCAGTCCATCAGTGTCAGTGTCAGTGAAAGTGTCAGTCCATCAGTGTTAGTGTCATTCTGTTAGAGTCAGAAGTCAGTGTCAGTGCCATTCCACCAATGTCAGTATCAGTCCGTCAGTGTCAGTGTCCATATCAGTGTCAGTATCAGCCTGTCAGTCAGTGTAGGTGTCAGTGTCAGTGTCGGTCAGTGTCAATGTCAGCCCTCAAGGCCAGTGTCAGTCCACCAGTGTCAGTGTCAGTGTCAGGTCAGAAGTCAGTGGCGAAGCGGTGCGCCGCGAACGCTGTGATGATGCTGAGAGTAGTGTGGTGCCGATATCCCCGACGCTACAGCCAGCCATGTGACCAGCGCACTGACGAAGGGGAGCGAGGAGGGGAGCGAAGTGGCGGGGAGCGGGAGAGATGCACGCTCCAAGCGTGCACGAGGAGTCACCAGGACACGCCATACATGACATGGAGTTTACGTTCGAGAGGGTGCGAGGTCGAGACTTAATGTCAAACGCGTGTCTGCATCCCGGCACAGTTGGCTTGATATAGATCGCTACGGTGGGTCACCATGACAACCACCGGCGTCACAAAACAGGCAAAGACGATTGGCCGTGACTGGTCGGGGACGGCTCCTCTTATCTACCATATTATCGTTCCACCCCGTATAATCTTAATAGAGAGTTCATCTATAATAATATATAATGGGTACATCAAAATATATATGGCATTATGTCTACAACATTTTGCAGAGTCGACATCCATCGACAGATCGGCAGAGTGGTTGTTCAGTTAAATATCCGTTCCGTCATATCTGTGGTCAGTACGGGTCAGTGAACGGGCCGCCGGAAGAGTGAAAGGATGGTCAACGGCAGGTGAGAAAGGCCAAAAGTGGTAAAGAATAGATGAACGCACATGTTTCCGTTTAATACGGTAAAAATATAGGTACAGACCCATTTCAGTATATTATCTGCAAGTTAATAACGAAAAACATACATAAGCCACTTCCATGTTCAGGACGATAACCTGTCTGCCATGTGGCACGTTCATTTTCATGTTCAGTACGATAGCCTGTGAGTCATGTAGTACGTAATGTGGTGAGCTGCTCCTGACATCACTTGAGTGCCCGCACCGTTCGCTTCGACGCGGCGCACGGTGTCCAACTCCCACCCCCGCACCTTTCTACACCATGCGGATGCAAGCTGGCGACTGCGACCCCTGCCGACCCTGCTGACCCCTGCTGACCCGTGCTGACCCCCGCTGGCCCTCCAGCACCACTCTGTATGTGTGCGGCCGGTCTGGGTCGCTGCCAGCCTCGCCAGCAGCAGCGGCTCTACCACTGTCGTGAGGGAGAGGCTTGGAGGCAACACGATACGTTGCAGGGAGACGCAGCTGTTCCGCGTTCGGTACGAGACAAAGTGGCGTATTTCCTTCGAGAATGACAAAGTTTCACGACAGCTTTTTGCTCATTCCGTATGAGCCATGCAAAACAAAAATTCGACTACCATTTGGAAGAGGAAAAGTGGTTAGGCTAGACAGTCCAGGTCATTCCACTGCTGCTGCCTTTGATTTATAGTGGTTGTCACAAAGTAGAGGTCTGTGCTACGAATAGCTTGGAGTTATTCTACCCCACATGAATCGAGTTGATTCTGATAAAAGCATTTGTAGCCGCATTAAGATTTGAATGAAGCTTCATTCTAAAACTGGTCTGGACACAGGCGTCTGAGTTTGTGCATAAAATGACGAGATGGGAAGGAAATCAATTTTCTCTTCATTTGCTACTTTGACATGCGTTTCATTTGCTTTACGCTGCCGTTTATAAGGCTTAGACCGTACCGTATATTTCACTAAAGGAATCCAAGGGCTGAGGAAAATGAATAGCAGTGCGCAATACGGCCAGATATGATGCCGAGGTTCCCGCTAATGTGCATGGTTGGCATATCAAAAATCATAACGGGAGAACAAAAAATGGTGTGGGCTATTTGAGTCGGAAATCTGTGGGGACGTGTTGTTGATATATCTGCTAAAGGCCAAGCACTTCAGCAGATTTTTCGAGGAGGTTTGATTTAGCTACAGGAGTTTGTGCGGTCTATGATTGTGCAATAGCGTTAAACACGGGAAAGACGGTAGTAAGGTAAGTGAGGAATTGCACTATCATAAAAACAGAGCGCACGAATCACCCGAATGGTATCTAAATCAGTGCATGTGTATGTTTACGTACGTGTACGTGTGCGCACGTTAATATCGATATTATTTGATTCGCAAACGCGAACGGTTGCAAATATACAACTAAATTGAACACAATCACCACCGTATATGACCATCATTGGCAACGAGATAAAGGGACGTTTGCTTGTTTAATAAATCAACAAATTTTTTGTGGTCGTCCTCATCTTTGTGCATCCGCGGCGCCTGAGATAAGAGACATCTACAACCTTTGCCGAGCCGTGAATACGGCACCGAGCTAATTAAATTACCAGTGAAATCCAGATGAAACATGGCTTGACGCCTCGGTACATTTTCGAGCCTGTCTCAATGGCTCTAAAAGTCTACCAAGACAGACGCCCCAGCGTAACCATGACAACCATCCAAGGCGAGCGGGCGGTCAGGTTTAGACGGAATATCAAATGGGACGTCTCGCTTGGAGCTCAGGAAAGAGAATGGTAAAAAACGCACACAAACAGGCACATTTCGAAACACAGGCGTCTGATGCAAGCAGGGATCAAAGGGGTGGTCATGTGACCTAGGGTCAACTGAGCGCGCGCGGCCGGCATGATCAAAGGCGACGTTAGACGCGGCAGTGGGTCCCGCAAGGTCAAGGCAGAGGTCAGCGCTCGAGTGTAGCTCATATGCGCGTGCGAGTACGACTCGGTTCGGTTTGCGGCTGAAACGCAACTACATGCTGATACTCGGAACAAACTATCCTCAGTCTTTCGTTGCAACCCGTGAGACGGCGTTCACTGACAGTAAAGCTGTTTAGGTGGCATTTTCTGTCTGAGGTAAAAACACTCCGCCAAGAGTGCCAGCGACCTTGGTACATTGTGTTATATCATAGCTGGTGGACTTGTGATCTCCGCTGATAGCAAAAGAACGCACGCGATATGGTGGGTGAACTCGATGTTCATCTCTTCCCGAAAAAGCCGACCTCTGCGATTTGACCCACATTGCTCAAAGTCAAGGGTGACTTTAAACCAAACAGCCAGGAGCCATCGCAATCCCCAGGTGCACATGCACATGCAGCTGCGACTGACAGCTTGTCCAGGCGCTGGTCATGGCCAGGTTTCATATCTGTCTAGGTGCGTCTGCTGACAGGAATGCCGCGACTCGTTTCTGATGCGCTGAACAAATCAGCAAGCGTTGAAGCAGTTTCTGCGTGGGCCGCGTTGAATACCTTTTCGTGTCTTCGTTGACTTACCCAAGAACTTTGTATTTAGTGCTAGATATGTTCGCATACGCTTGATGTGGCTGTTGGAGACATGCATTTGGCATGCTGGTTGAACCGCACGACCACGTTCATTTCGTCGATAAATTGTTTGAAGTATAACCATGAAAACGGTCGCGACGAATGGCACCACACCAAGCGGGTTTAAAACAATCTTTCTCGATGCTTTTAGAAAACGCACCACGAGAACGTTGCTCGTGTTTTTTTGTACGTGTCGGGCAGATGTGGGTCACCTCTTCACGTGATCATTCCTGTCCGACTGCTAAAGGCTGAAATGCCAAAAGAGTTGGCGCCCACGTCAGTTCTTAACGGATACTGCAATGACATGCTGTATGCTACCTACCCACCACCCCATAGCTGAACAGGCGTAAAATAGTACATCAAATCCGATAGAACTCTGCCCAGTGCACGAAAAAAACAACAACGCGTACTAGTCTCCTGCGAAATGTAGTTGCAAGTCTGACGCTATCAAATGCTTGATTTTTTACCTTTTTGGTCGGAACTTGCTGACAGCGCAGTCCGGCATTTTTTCATTCAGTCCACAAGCTTGCCACATCTAAAACCAGCGATGTTTCACCGCCTCTTAGTTACAGCCTGGGGTATTGTTGCTTTTTAGTTGACTGCAACTTAGGCTCCAGCCCCTCCCAAACTTTGCGAAGAAAGTGGGCAAAATGCATAGAAAATCCGTTTGGTGCCATATTTTTTGGGTAAGAATTTTCACTGATCAGCCCCTGACATTCGAACGACATCTCCGGTTCAAACTTTTTAGTTGTATGTTCAGGCTTTCAATTCAAAACATACGCGTGTTTCTTCGGTAAGTCTCCAGTACGATCAAAAAAATAGTCAGTTTTGTTTTTGTCAAAGCAGCCTACAAAACTTACTCGGGGTCTCCACTCACGGGCCGGGAGGGCTGACGGAAATGGCTGCAGATGATTGATAATGTTTCTCCCAAAACGCAGTTGAGTTTTTTGGAGTTCAGTCTGAGTGGTCACGTCAAAGCACTTCTGTGTGAAATCGACTCTCTGACTCCTGGACCTTGGCGTCTCATCGCCTGACTCGACAAACGGACCCGTGGTGGGTCAGAGCCCATTTCCTCACTGACTCGTGGCCCGAGCTCCATCCACTGAAGTGACGTCATAGCTACACGTCAATAGAAAACAACTTAACTTCAAAATAAGGATACAAGTAAAATCAGCTGATCCAACCCATGGAGACATCCAGCGCTCGGGGCTGGCACCCTTGAATATAATTCGAATGATAGTCATTTGCACGTGATCTGTCGCTGCAGCTGGCAAGTGACGTCATCGCCGATCGCAATTTCCACATGAGATCGAGACCTGCCTTTTCGCCGGGTATACAAGATCGTCGACAGCGCACCGACCGGTGCTAGGCGTTGCTATGTCAGCACCGACGAATTACTTGTGAACAAACGCAC